CCCTGTGCTAGAGGGAGTTCTAGAGGGCTCTCAAGAGCCCTCTCGAGGGCAGATATTTTGGAGGTGCCAAATACCCACACTTGACCCCACCGCATGTGACACTGCCGATCAATTTCAATGTAGTGTACCCATTTATGCTGCATGTGATTTGAATGGAATTTGCATGCATTGCAAATCATATAATCGGTGCCATTTATATGGCACTTAATAAGTGCCTTAGTAATTGAAACGGACACCCACAGCCCTTGGACTTAAACACAGGGTCTCACTTATACTGGCCACATTGCCTTGGCATGGCTATTATAAATGCCCTGAGATAGAGAGATAGACACTGTGGTGGCGAGATGTTAACTATCTCACCTGGTATACTGGCGGTTGTAGGTTTGACCCCAACCCTGACAACTGTATATTTGGAGTTTGCGTGTCTCTCTCGCCATGGTCGCGTAAATTTTTCTTCGGGTCTTCAGGTTTTTCCCCTTCACATTCAAAATCAATATGCATTTCAAGTATTTGGCTACTATGAATGTGCACGTGATAAGCCACTTTGTTGAGATTTCATTTGTGACCAGGTCGCTTCTGAAAAAGAGCTATAAAGCTCAGTAGGACAACTGGTCAAGTTTAAAAAAAAATAGTTTTAGTTAGAGCTTGGACCCAGCAGCGTGGTGATGCTGGTTAAGTGATGAGCCATAATGGGTCCTCTTAAGAGACCGAGAGACACCCAGTGATTGGGCTTAGACCCTGAACAATTGCTATTATGCCGTTGCCACCATGAACCCCAATGGGTTCACCAACCAGTTTGCTTGTCATTATTGTACAACGATGCTCATGTTCCTGCAGGAATCGATTTTCTGGATGTAGAACTGGCGGACGATCTTGGTTTTAAATAGAAATAAACTCGACACGTTTGTTTCTAATACTGTGGCTGTAAAGAGTAAAAGAATATAATAGGTGTACAACACAGAGAGGACCCAGAGAGGTGGCCTTGCTGTTTGCTCTGAAAGAAAGGCCATTGCTAGAAATGTCACCTATTGAATACTTTTTTTAAGGCCACAGTGTCATTGACGAATTTTTAGAATTTTGTTGTTTTAATTTTGATTTAAAGCTTTCGTGACTGCAGGGATTCATATTCTTGGTTCTTTCGGTAATGTCACGTAGAAGGGAAACAAAATAATTAAAATATAAAACAATAAAATTATCACGATGTTTCGACTGCAACACAAGCAATCATCATCAGGTGTTGCAGTCGAAACGTCGTGATAATTTTATTGTTTTATATTTTTATTATTGTATTGTTTCCCTTCTACGTGACTTTACCGAAAGAACCAAGAATATACTTTTGTTGTTGTTTGTGCTTGTGCACCACTGCCAATGCAGCACCGCCAAATAACTCGTTCAGTTTTTAAGTAGGTTTGTAACCGCACGTAAAAAACCCCCCGGTAGAAAACTGTTTACCGGTTTGCCACGTGTACAGAAATGTCTGGATCAGTGAAGATAACACTGATGCCTCCTGTGAGTGAGAAACAAAGGCAGCTGCACGTTGGACTCGAGGTCCCAGGGGCCACCGGTCATGTCCCAGGTCAGCCGTGGCAGCTAAAATAACGGGGAGCACCAGCGCAGAAGAACGCGCGGGCACCCGGCGTGTGGAGCAGTCGTCTCCTGAGAAGGCACAGGGCGGCCACCGGCCATCGCAGAACGAAGCCTTCATGCTGGCACATTAAGGTTTAACACGTAGGCTTTCGCTGACCAATGTGTATAATAAAAGTTGTAATTTTTTTTGTGTTAGCTAGCGTAAATATAAATGTGCCATTGACCAGCCACCACCCGACACAGCCAATTAGTAAGGTTTGTCAGGTAAACAAAATGTGCCAATTAGTTACTACTTCAGCACACCAGTGTGTTGGAGAGTAAACCTACAACATTTACAATTTTTTGTTGAATTGTAAATGTTGAAGTATTAACTAATTGGCACATTTTGTTCAGTTGACAAACTTTACTAATTGGATGTGTGGGGTGGTGGTGGGTTAACGACACATATTTACGCGATCTAACACAAACAAAATAACCTTTATTATGGCACATTAAAGGTAACCAACACTATATATTATCTTGAATGGGACGCCACTTAATAGTTTGTATAGCGCAATAACCATAATAATTAACTTTTTGCATTAGCACAATCTACAGACTCAACACAATCCTAACTTCTAAACAGAGTTAGTGGGTTAACTAATTTCAGGAAACTCTCAATTATGTATAAGCATGCATACAAATGTGCTTTCTCACTGCATGTGTAGTACCTGGGTGTGCACACGACAAGGGGTGGAAAGTCCTCCACGACCCTGGCAGATAAACTAACAAACAAAATAACAATGGGGTCATTGTAGTATCACGTCACGGTGAGGTGTGGGAGAGCTTCTAGTTCCAGCTTACTGGTGGGATGCAGCCAAGCCAGATGAGTCAGATGCCTTTCTGTGACCTCCTGTCCTAGGTGCTGGCCAAAGTGGCCCTTCGGGATAGTCATCCTGTTGGGTGACTTTAATGCCCGAGTTACAAAACTCTCCAGTGTGCGACTGTGGTCATCCAGAACAGACCATGCAACTTATATCAACGCAATGCCCGATCCACAAATACGATGGAGACATCACGGCGATAGACTTTGCTGCTCCTGATATGGTTATCTGGTTTGACCACCTGAATGTGAAATTGTAGTTGTTGCTCTACATCAGCCACATTAAAGAAAGAAGAAGAAATAATGTTTGAGTGGGTCATGACACAGGCACCTGGACTGCAGTAATCGGAAGGCACGGACTAGATCGGTTCAATAACAATGCTAGGAGGCTGCTAGACTTCTGTGCTGCCCATGGATTTGTAATCACCAACACGCTGTTCCACCATCGGAGCATCCACACAACATCATGGGTGTATGCCGGATCCAAGCAAGAACATCTGCTGCACTATATAAGGATGGAATAGCGAATGTGGCCCATGTCCTTGACACCAGGACCCACCGTTTGACTGATCTACCTGCTGATCATTGGCTTGTCATCTGTAAGATGCGCCTGCCATTATTTCACTGTGGTTGGTAGCCATTCACCTGGGACCCCTTTCAAACCCATAAGAACCTGGTCTCAGCTAGCTAATGAAAGTTGCAAGTGAAAATGTCATCATCACTTGCAGCTGGGGTTGGTATCATTCCCCCTCTCTTCCTGATGCCGAGGTGAAACAGGTGAGGTTTAGGGCTTTGGCTTATGCCACTGCTATGGCTGCATTGGGTACGCAGTCCAAACCTCCCTTGTAACCCTGGCTAACGGAGGTGTTCCGGCTAGCTGAGAGAAAGCGACAACATCTCATGTTCTTAGCTCTTTCGGTAAAGTCACGTTGAAGGGAAACAATAAAATAATAAAAAATATATAAAACAATAAAAATTCTCACGACGTTTCGACCATAACACAAACGGTCGTCATCAGGTGTGTTGGTTTGCATAAATTTATTTATTTTAAACGGTGTATTTATATTTATCAAATCACTGGAAAGATTTGATAAACCATTTCAGGTCTTAATTGATTGTTCACGCTTACAGTGGCTTTCAGACAGCATACATTAATTTTTCGTCTCCCCCCTCCTCTTTTCAGAACATAGATGGACTAGTCCTTCTAAATAAACTGCTAAATCGCTGCGCATGGCGCTGACGTTTTTTATAAATAAATAAATACACCGTTTTAAAAGAAATAAATTTATGCAAACCGACACACCTGATGACGACCGTTTGTGTTATGGTCGAAACGTCGTGAGAATTTTTATTGTTTTATATATATTTTATTATTTTATTGTTTCCCTTCAACGTGGCTTTACCGAAAGAGCTAAGAATATGAATTACTGCAGTCACGAAAGCTTTAAATAAAAACATTTCATGTCTGAGAATAAGGGGGCTTCCCGAAGCCTTCGCTCAGAGGTTTACAGAGCCATGCAGCGCTGCAAGGATGAGTGGTTCTTGCGGGTTGCTGAGGAGATGGAAACTCCCTCATTAGTTCACGATCATAAATAACTCGTATACAACTTGCAGCACCACACCTAGTACTGTCTATAAGAAAAAAGAGTGGTGATACGATGTCTGACCCCCAGGAACAGGTCTGCAGGTTTTCTGAGCACATCTGTGAAGTCTTTGTGGAGGGGAAACCCCTCAGCCAAGTTAAAGATCGTGGGGCTAGGTGGGGTTGGCCCTGCTGGTGCTTCCATGCTGGAGGTAGTAGCCACCCCCTGTGAGTGGCTGGCTAATGTGCCATCTGTTGACGAAGTACGAAAAGTAATCCAGAGCCTGAGATGAGAAAAAGTGCCGGGCAGAGGTGGCCTCCCAAGTGAACTGCTGAGGGAGGGTGGAAATTTTGTGCAGGCTGCCCTATGTGACATCATTATAACTGTGAGGACAGGTTCCGCAGAGTTGTAAGGATTCCCTGGCTTTAAATCTAGAATTGATTCCCTGGTGGTCAGTCCCTCTTCTTCACCCTTTCCCGTTTCGAGACGTCTGCGTTAATTTTATTTAGAGAATCACAGCGCTGCTGTTTTTAAAAGACATTGTACCCACCGCAGAGAACTGTAGCGACACGACCGCACTCTATGATAGGTGGCGCCAAACTGTACCATACGCTCTCCCGCATGGCCTTGTGGGAGCCTCCATACCAATAAAGTTATTTTATTTTTTATTACAATTTTGTTCCAATAACGTACGTGTGCGTGATTGGAATGGAACCAGAAACAAAACGAATTACTTACACGGTAACGTCATCAGAATGGGAAAGAGTTAAGAACGGAGTGCACACAGATTGTTACATCATTCCGAGCATTGCAATTGCAGTAATGATCGGGGTGGCTGCTGGATTCAAAGCCGTGATTGCGTGAACGCTCGGCCGTGTTACCGCCCTTAAAGCAGCAGTGGATCGATGTTGGTTGACGTCACCCCCGTTAACGCGCGTGTGTGTGTGTGCGCGCGTGTGCATGTGCAGGAGGTGCACGCCTTCCGCTGGTGCGCGTGGAGGCTCGTGCTGGTGGGGGTCGGCGCCGTGTGCACGGGCGGCCTGCTACTCCTTGCGCTGTACTGGCTGCCGCGCTGGAACGTGCGGGCGACGTGCTCGCGCTGCTCGCTGCAGCAAGCGAGCATCCTGCTGCTGCGCACCACGGTACGCAAGCACGTGCGCAGGTCACGTATACGGGCGTGTACAAAGACAAAGATCCCCCGTATGGCCTTGACATACTTTTGGGGCAGCTGCTGTTAGCGAGCACCTATGGAAGGCCGACAACAGCACACGAGGGGGTGGGTGGCCAGCACCACGCCCGACCGCCTTTGTCTCCCCGGCGGCGATGTTTTTACACACCGTAGCAGGTACTCCATTTAAGGCTGAGTCGACCTGCGGGCGTGTACATGCACACATGCAGGCATGCTCGCGCACAAACACATACTTGCGCTGCTGCTGTGTGAGAGCATATTGCTCCTGTGCGCCAGAGTTTTTGTGCGTGTGGGTGCACGTGGGTCTCGCACACACACAGGTATGCACACAGGTGTGTGTATATACACACAAGAATGTATGCCCGCACGCAGGTATGTACCCACACACATCTGCTGTAACCACGACAGCACATGAGCATATTGCTGAATGTGCACTCGCGAGTGCGTCTGCACACATGAGGGTGACTGTGCATGCGTGCACGTGCTTGTGTGTGCGCGTGCGCAGGACGAATTCAGTATCTGGTACCGCGTCAAAGTGCGTCACATGGTCAGCTCCTCCACCAATCAGAAGCCGCTGTCCATGGGGGCAGATGAGACCGATGACATCATTCGTCTGCTGAGCCCAACATCGTCGTCGGCATCCACGGAGCACGAGCACAGCGTGAGCTCCAGCCCTGCCAGCCACTCGCCTGCCACTCTCCAGCCACTCGCCAGCCACTCGCCCGCCACTCACCCACCACTCGCCTGCCACTCGCCAGCCGCTCACCTGCCACTCGCCAGCCGCTCACCTGCCACTCGCCCACCACTCTCCAGACACTCGCCAGCCACTCGCCCGCCACTCGCCAACCACTCTCCAGACACTCGCCAGCCACTCGCCCATCACTCTCCCGCCACTCGCCAGCCACTCGTCTACCACTTGCCCACCACTCTCCAGCCACTCGCCAGCCACTCGCCCGCCACTCGCCCACCACTCGCCTGCCACTCGCCAGCCGCTCACCCACCACTCTCCAGCCACTCGCCCACCACTCGCCTGCCACTCGCCCACCACTCGCCTGCCACTCGCCTGCCACTCTCCAGCCACTCGCCAGCCGCTCACCTGCCGTTTGCCCGCCGCTAGCCCGCCGCTTGTACAGGTGTTCACGAACCCTTGCGTGTGTGCGTGTCCACCACAGGTCCGCTACTTTGCACACCATTTCGTCAAGTACCTTTGGGATCCCATTAATTACAAGTTCATCCGCCTCAGGTGTGTACAGCAGTCGTGCATGCATACATACCCACAACCAAGCACATACATACGCTTGTGTGTGTTTTATGTATGCACACTATGCCGGCTATATAGAGGATCTTTGTCTTTTTACACACAAAGATAGAGCTCCCATATATTGCGATGAGTAGACTTGCGGCAAGTGCTGTCAGCGAGCAGCTATGAAGGCTGGCACACCACACAAGGGGGTGTGTAACCAGCACCATGCCTGGCCACCTTTGTCTCCCCGTGGCAGATGTTTAAACACCACACGAAGTACTCTGTTAAGTCGACCTAGGGAAGGCACAGGACCGGATTAGATCATCGTCACTTCTGTTGGCCGAGAGCGGGAAGCAAGGTTGGGTAGTTGGGTTCGTAGCACAGCACGCTAACTACTACACTACCGCTACCCATATGCTCACAGCAGTCACGCAGTCACACATACATACACCTTCACAGTCACACACAACAACAATAACAACCGCCATTCACTACTAAGTGGCGGCTATGTGCGGCTATGTGCGGTTTTAGGCCACGTGAAGTGTCACACTCTCACTTAGTGACAGTCACACGCAGTCAGTCACACGTGCTTAATCACAGGCCAGCGGTAAAAAGTGCTACTGTTGTAGCCGAGTTCATCTGCTGTTAACTTGAATGAATTTCTTGCTTTGTGTTAAGAGGTTAATTCATAATCGTCGTCAATAATAACATTGCTGACTGGTAAGTTGCCTTGTATCTGTTCTCTTAATTGATGAATGGGTGTGCTAATTAGATTGTTAATTAACGAGCTGCCCCGTCGGTTGCCTTTATTTGACGGGCGGACTTGTTAAATGCTTTGATGGCTTCGTCTGGTTGTTTTGTTCTCTTCCACGGACGTTTTGTTACGAGCGGCTTCTGAACACACAAACGCTTCGGCTGCCGCCCTCTCTCCCCCACCGAGTGTTTTGTTGTCGTCCTCGTCGCCTCTGCCAGGGGTCTGGAGGAGGGGGTTCCTCTGGCGGCGTTTTACTCGACACGCTCGCACGGCCTCCATGAGGAAGCGCAGCAGCACCTGTACGTATGCCGGCACACACACACAAAGACAAAGATCCTCCATATAGCCTTCATACAGTGAGGGAAAAAAGTATTTGATCCCCTGCTGATTTTTTACATTTGCCCACTGACAAATAAATGATCAGTCTATAATTTTAATGGTAGGTTTATACTGGTAGGAAACATAGTGGACTGGAAGCCCAACCGGGATTAATACTGGTAGGAAACGTAGTGGACTGGAAGCCCAACCGGGATTAATTCACAGGAGGCAGGGGATTCATTGTGTATGTCTGTCCACTTCGGAGGGGTGGGGCTGGGTGGAGAGGGGAGGGTAGGGAGGGGCTGGGTGGGGAGGGGCTGGGTGGGGAGGGTGGGGTGGGGCTGGGTGGGGTGGGGCTGGGTGGGGTGGGGCTGGGTGGGGAGGGGCTGGTCACCCCGTGGTGTCCTTATATGGACTGGAAGCCCAACCGGGATTAATTCACAGGAGGCAGGGGATTATACACTGCACTTTCTGGTGCGACCTCTTTTACACTGCACTTTCTGGCATCGTTTGATAATTCTGCTCACTTTTCATTTTGCTTTCTTCTGCGCACGACCCTAACAAGTTTGGCTTAAATATCCGTACATAATTACTTCAAAATTTCCTACCAGCCCATTCCGCAGGAATGTGTTTTGAACAGTGAGAGACAGAATAACAACAAAAAATACAAAAAAACGCATGTAAAAATGTTATAAATTGATTTGCATTTTAATGAGGGAAATAAGTATTTGACCCGGCTGCAAAACATGACTTAGTACTTGGTGGCAAAAACCCTTGTTGGCAATCACAGAGGTCAGACGTTTCTTGTAGTTGGCCACCAGGTTTGCACACATCTCAGGAGGGATTTGTCCCACTCCTCTTTGCAGATCTTCTCCAAGTCATTAAGGTTTCGAGGCTGACGTTTGGCAACTCGAACCTTGTGCTCCCTCCACAGATTTTCTATGGGATTAAGGTCTGGAGACTGGCTAGGCCACTCCAGGACGTTAATGTGCTTCTTCTTGCTGGAATACCCATCCACGACCCATTTTCAATGCCCTGGCTGAGGGAAGGAGGTTCTCACCCAAGATTTGATGGTACATGGCCCCGTCCATCATCCCTTTGATGCGGTGAAGTTGTCCTGTCCCCTTAGCAGAAAAACACCCCCAAAGCATAATGTTTCCACCTCCATGTTTGACGGTGGGGATGGTGTTCTTGGGGTCATAGGCAGCATTCCTCCTCCTCCAAACACGGCGAGTTGAGTTGGTGCCAAAGAGCTCCATTTTGGTCTCATCTGACCACATCACTTTCACCCAGTTGTCCTCTGAATCATTCAAATGTTCATTGGCAAACTTCAGACGGGCATGTATATGTGCTTTCTTGAGCAGGGGGACCTTGCGGGCGCTGCAGGATTTCAGTCCTTCACGGCGTAGTGTGTTACCAATTGTATTCTTGGTGACTATGGTCCCAGCTGCCTTGAGATCATTGACAAGATCCTCCCGTGTAGTTCTGGGCTGATTCCTCACCGTTCTCATGATCTTTGCAACTCCACGAGGTGAGATCTTGCATGGAGCCCCAGGCCGAGGGAGATTGACAGTTCTATTGTGTTTCTTCCATTTGCGAATAATTGCACCAACTGTTGTCACCTTCTCACCAAGCTGCTTGGCAATGGTCTTGTAGCCCATTCCAGCGTTGTGTAGGTCTACAATCTTGTCCCTGACATCCTTGGAGAGCTCTTTGGTCTTGGCCATGGTGGAGAGTTTGGAATCTGATTGATTGATTGCTTCTGTGGACAGGTGTCTTTTATACAGGTAACAAGTTGAGATTAAGAGCACTCCCTTTAAGAGTGTGCTCCTAATCTCAGCTCGTTACCTGTATAAAAGACACCTGGGAGCCAGACATCTTTTTGATTGAGAGGGGGTCAAGTACTTATTTCCCTCATTAAAATGCAAATCAATTCATAACATTTTTGACATGCGTTTTTCTGGATTTTGTTTTTGTTATTCTGTCTCTCACTGTTCAAATAAACCATTAAAATTATAGACTGATCATTTATTTGTCAGTGGGCAAACGTACAAAATCAGCAGGGGATCAAATACTTTTTTTCCCTCACTGTATACTGTTGGGGCAGGTGCTGTTAGCGAGCACCTCTGAAGGCCGGCAACGGCAAACGAGGGAGTGGATGGCCAGCACCACGCTCAGCTATTTTTGTCTCCTGAATGGCGATGTTTACACACCGCACCAGGTACTCATTTGAGGCTGAGTCGACTTAGGGGAGGCCCAGGACTGATTCAGATAATCATCACTGGTGTTGGTCGTGAGCGGGAATCGAACTCGGGCCGCCAGGTTTGTAGCGCTACGCCCTAACCATTGCACTACCACTCCCCAAACACCAAGAGAGCCCCCGGTATCGCCTTAACTGCCTGTTGGGGCAAGTGCTGTCAGCGAGCACTTATGAAGGACGACACGGTACACGCACATGTACACACACACACACTCGTACACAGTGGTGGGGATAGGCTGATATGCAATGGCACGCCACACCAAATGCGTTTACTGCCACTTTTCAGATCGGTTCCCCTAATACTACACCATGATGTTTTTGTATAAGGGGAAATGGCGGTGAACATGGGCTGTGGCACAAAGAGCCCACATGTGTATGCTCACATAAGACAAATATAAAGTTCCCCCGTGTAGCCTTTAACAGATTATTGGGGCAAGTGCTGGTAATGAGCAGCTTTGAAGGCCGGTAGAGTGCACGAGCGGGTGGGTGACCAGCACCACAGCCAGCAAGCTTTGTCTCCCCAGCACTGATGGTACACACACACTGCACCAGGTACTTATTTAAGGCCAGGTCGACCTCAGGGAGGCCCAGGACCGGTGCAGATATTCGCCACTGTTTTTGTTTGCGAGCGGGAGGCGAACTCGGGACGCCGGTTTCCTCGCGAAGTTTACTAACCACTACGCCACCAATCCCCCCCCGGTTCACTCACAAACGCGCACACTCACAAGCACAGTCCGTCACAAGCACACTAAACTAACTAAACTAAACTTTTAATTTTCACGAGGTAAGGCCAACTGAACAACATAGCTCTTTCTCAGCAGCGACCTGACCACAAATGATACCTCAATGGAGTGGCTTATCACCTGTACATTCATAGCAGCCAAATACTCTAAACGTATGTTGATTCTAAATATGGAGGGAAAAACTGGAGGATCCGGAGAAAAAATCCACACGACCATGGGGGGAACTTGAATACTCCAATGTACAGGCGTCAGGGTCAGCATGGAACCTACGATCTCCCTCATACCAGCCGAGGAAGTTATCATCTTGCCATTGCGGCACGTTATTGCTGTGGGTGTAAGAACCATAACATTCTCGCTGTCTGCTTCACGTTCGACGGTGGAGGGCCACTGTGTGCCGGTGGCACGGTCCAAATTTTTGGTCAAATTCCAAAAATGCCTCGGTTGAGATTCTACGTAGCTACATTGCCTCGCCCCTTACGATGCGACTACCCTCCTTCGCGAAAGCTTTGCTCTCGAGCAGTGGTTCTTAACCTTTGCTGCAGCCTTGCACCCCTTTGGTTCTCAATCGTAAAAAAAAAATGTATAATGTTAATAAAGACATAGGTTTGATTAAACAAAGTAGTTGTATCACCATTAGACCTCCTTTGCCAGTACCAAAATGTAATAATAGGGTTTTTCCCCTTTTTTTTCTGGCAACAAAACTGAAATCTTTTTTTACAAGGATTCATGTCTGCATTAACCACAATACCTGCAGTCAAAATGCAAACCAAAAAAACATACTATGATAATATTTGCATTGTCCTTGAAACTGATTGATCCACACCAAGGGACGGCTTTCTTTTGAGCCTCAACCCAATTGGTGCTCGACCAGATGACGCCGAAAGGCGTATTATTAAAGTAGTTGTACTTACGTGCCCGTGCTTAATTTGTCTTTCGATAATTTACATTCTAAAAAAATCTGGCCATGTCTCGCACCCCCATCAAGGGCATCTCGCACTCCCAGGGGGTGCTCTGTAGCAATGGCGCGTGCAAAATCGTCGTTAATTACTATCACGTGTGTGTGTGCGCGTGCTTGTGTGCGTGCAGGCGCACGTTTTACGAGGAGAACCAGATCGCCGTCAAGGTGCCGTCTCACCTCAAGCTGCTCTTCAAAGAGGTGCGCGGCCAATGGGCTATGGCAGCAGCAGGCACAGCAGCAGGCACAGCAGCAGGCACAGCAGCAGTAGCAGCAGCAGCAGCAGGCGCAATAGCAGGCGCAGTAGCAGCAGCATGTGCAGTAGCAGCAGCAGTAGGCGTAGGAGCAGGTGCAGGAGCAGCAGCAGGCACAGCAGCAGCAGGCACAGCAGCAGCAGGCACAGCAGCAGCAGCAGGCACAGCAGCAGGCACAGCAGCAGGCCCCTCGGTGTGAGTCGAGCATAGCATCGCCTCGTACGGCGATAACAATTGTCAGCCACAAGCCCCGTCTCCGTTTTGTAAGATGTGGGTGCTGTGCAGGCTGTATGGGCAGGATAGGGATATTTCTCTGCGCCATGAGAGGACTCTTAAGAGCCCCTCTCCTATTGTCGGGAAGCCGGCCACTGGAACGCCTGCTCATCTTCGGGACGCAAGGAGAAACGTTCCTCTCCTGCCCTACGCACACCCCTTCGCCTACCTCGTACAAAATGAGACTGGGCTTGGGGATGACAACAAATAACTCGGTATCTGAAGAAGCTGTTGTGTTGACGCCTTGCTGCGTGGAGAAGCTGCGAAGAGGGGTTGTGTGTAAGATACATCGTTGGTACCTTGTTTGGCACAGACTGTTGTGTTAATTGCTGTGCTATTGTGTTCCGGGTTTGATGTTAGTTCCCTCGTGGTGCACGTGAGTACATGGGAGAAGAGGCTCCTGGTCTTGGGTGTCTCGGTGGCGAGATGTTAACTACCTCTCCTGGTGTACAGGAGGTTCATGGGTTCGATCCCGACCTTTATGCCCGTATATTTGGAGTTTGCGTGTTTCTCCCTGTGGTCGCGTGGATTTTTCTCCGGGTCCTCTATTTCCCTCAAACATTTATAAAGCACGTGTTGATCAGAGTATTTGGCTCTGATATATTTACACGTGGAGAGCCACTTGGTTGAGCTATCATTTGTGACCAGGTCGCTTCTAAAAAAAAAAAAAACTATCTGTATAGCCTTACCTGGTAAGAGGAACATAGTTTAGTCAGGAGTTTAGTCTTGTGTGAAATCCCCTGACGTGCATGCACCTCGCCCATCACCCCTGCAACCCGTTCCACCGCATGGCAACGACGATCATAAAATGTTTTTTGAGACGGAATTTCCACATAGGCCGGACGACGTCGTCTCGCAAATTACTTCCATTACGTCTCATCTCTGCACGCATTGAAAGGAGGCACCCCCAGTGGCAGCTGTCCCTGTGAGCAAAAGGCGACTCGGCACCTGTCCTGAGAACGGGCGTTAGTCTGCCAGTAGCGAGTAATTGTTTCTGCGTGTAATTGCAATGGACTCATTTGCGGTGTAAGTTTGAATTTGGCAAATGCACAAAGGTGGATTTTTCTGCAGCTGCCCTCTGATGACAAAGTAGCCCAGAAGCAGCCCACATCGCCTATCTGGTGAATGGTGGTCGCACGCCCAAGCACCATCCAGGCTAAAGCCCACTCAGCTTCTGAGTTGAGACCAGATCGGGTGAATTCCGGGTCATTTGGTCATAGGTTTCTTCCACATCGAAACATATGAAAGCAATGTCAGACTAAGTGACTTTTGACTTGTTTTTTTAAAAGTGCTTTGTTTTATAATGTACATGAATGTGATGTGTTATTAACACGCTTCATCTGTCCTGTGTCCTCTCTGTATCCTTGTCCCCCCACTTCCTGTGGTCTCCTTTCTGTGTGTGCTGATTTGTCTCTCTCTTCCCATTCCTTCTCTCATGTGTTGTGTGTGTTCATTTGTCCCCGTGTGCCCCCGTGTGCCTCCGTGTGTCATTGTGCCCCTGTGTGTCCCCGTGTTGTGTCTATTCTCCCTGCGTTGCCCTCGTGTTCCTCCCTTGATGCTCCTGTGTGTTCCCCCCATGCCCCCCTCGTATACCCCTCCTATTCCCATTCCTTCTCTCATGTGTTGTGTGCGTTCATTTGTCCCCGTGTGCCCCCGTGTGCCTCCGTGTGTCATTGTGCCCCTGTGTGTCCCCGTGTTGTGTCTATTCTCCCTGCGTTGCCCTCGTGTTCCTCCCTTGATGCTCCTGTGTGTTCCCCCCATGCCCCCCTCGTATACCCCTCCTACCATGTCCCGCCTGTGCGTGCCTGCGTGCTCCCCCCGCATGTCCCTGTACAGGTGCTGAACCCGTTCTACATCTTCCAGGCGTTCAGCGTGGCGCTGTGGATGTCGGACGAGTACTACTATTACGCCTCGGCCATTGTTATCATGTCCTTCATCTCCATCGGCACCTCACTGTACTCCATCCGAAAGGTGGGCAACCACCTCTCCTATCCCAACTCCTCACTCCCCCACTCCCTAAACCGTACATACAAGGCCGAAGAAAGAGAGAAGTAAGATATGGAAGAGATGGGGAAACAGAGGGAGAGAGACAGAGCGATTGAGGGAGGGTTAGAGAGTCAGAAAGAGAAACGGGGAGATACACTGACACAGAGAGAAGCACACACACGAAAAGAGAGAAAGACAGCGAGATTGACAGGGAGAAGGAGACATAGACATAGGGAGAAAGACACAGACATATATATGGAGGGAGACAGAGAGGCTGTGAGAGAGACGGGGAAGCCCAATCTCTGGGAATGCCCCATCTCTGGTGAGTTGCTTCGGGGGCGAGGCGGCTGGGCACATGTCAAGCCGGTGTCGCCACCGTCCCATTATTTGTTTGCCCCGTGCTGTCCTCAAAGGGTGCTTGTTGACAGCAGCTGCCCTGAACACCCTGCGAGGCTAAAAGGGGGGCACAGCGCGTGTTTATGTCTGGGGTAGGGCGATAGTGTAGCGGTTAACAAGCTGCGCTGCGAACTCGGCGACCCGAGTTCGATTACCGCTCGCGGCCAACGCCAGTGACGCGGTCCTGGGCTTCCCCTAGGTTGACTCAGCCTCAAATTAGTACCTGTGTAAACATTGCCACTAGGGAGACAAAGGCGGCCGGGCGTGACACTGGCCACCCACCACTTCGCGTGCCATGCCGGCCTTCATAGGTGCTCACTAACAGCGCTTGCTCCAAAAGTTTGTGAAGGATATACGGGGGGGGGGGGGGGAATCTTTGTCTTTGTTCATGTCTGCAAGGTGTCTGGGTAAGAATGAGCACATAGTGGGTGTTCGTCGTGCGTCCGTTTGCTTAATAATTAATCTCGACTGTATTTTTCATGACCTATTTCACGGGCAAAAGCATAACCTGTTAATAATTAATAACAATGGTAGTTCTACAATAACACTTGAAAAACTGCGCCAAAGTGGCTCTTCTGACCGCTACAATATCATTGTCTGGATATTTTCAATCCAATTTTTTTTAAAGTGAGTGGAAACTTTACAAACGTGCAATGAGGGCTGCTGCACTTTTTCTCCACTGCTGCTGCTGTTCACGATAAAATCGATTTGTGTTTCACGCCGGGGCACCTCAGAGCGCTTTGCGCTCGCGATAAGTAACTCGCATCTCATCTCGATACAATCGACGGCTGCCACTGGGCACCCCCAGTGGCAGCCGTCCCTGTGGGCACAAGTCGACTCGGCACCTACAAGTGGGCATGATTCTGTCAGCAAGGGGCAAAGATTGCTGCCGTGTGTCACCCCAATTGAGTGATTTTGCGGGTAAATGTTTAAGTTTGGCAATTTTTTACCGTGACGCCGGGCACCCGCTACCCTGCTAGTTTAAAATAATGCTAGGGGATCTTTAAAGTCCACTGTGAAACAGATGGGGCACAGTAGTAGCAGTAGTATTTCTATGGTTAATGCACACCGCAGTGATCACCAGGGCGGCCAGTTGGACTTGAACCGTGGACCTCTGCTTAAAGTGGCAAATGCTCCACTGCTGGGCCATGTCAACTGCCCCCAAGCTAACGGTCGGAACTAATGAGCAGAACAAACAAGACAGAATGATGCAGACAGTACAGCGGAAATGCATAATGCAGCGTAGAAGGGACAGACGGTACAGGTGAGACGCACAAGGCGGTGTAGAGGGACAGATGGTACAGGTGAGACAGCACAGACGTGGCAGAGTGAGGCAGAAAGTATAAAAAAAGGACGGACAATACAGAAGAGACCGAGCAAACAAGATTCTGCAGACCTGTCAGTACAGATATGACACAGTACAACCAAGACAAAAAAGTAATGGCATCACCACCCTGAAATCGCAACAATCCATTGGCTGGGATTGGAGAGGGAAGAAAGGTTGCAGGATGTGAGATGTGGGGGGGAGAGGGGGTGGGGAGGTCATTCCACCATAGATGGCTATTAATAGCAAAGCAACTGTAGCACGACTTGAACCCTTAACTTTGAAGTGGCTCGCCATTGAGCGGAGCTGCCCAGACCCTTTACGCCGCCCACTTATTGCTGCTGCTGTTGTTGCTGAAAGGGAGAGAACAGCTCATGGAGAGATCACGGCTTCAAAGTTCGCCGTTTGTCTCAAAGCAAGCACATTTTTCCTCTCTTCTCTGTTATCAGTTTTGCGTCAGTGGCAGCCAGCGCTGACCAGTCTGAGCGGCCGTAAACCAGCAGAATGTAGCAGGGCGTTGGTTATATTTTTCTAATTGTATTGCATTTCAAAGGTGCCGAAAGGGTGATTAGCTGTCGTGCCTGGAAACTATGACTGCCATGTGTCTGTCTCGTGCTGTCACGAAAACTACGAGACCCCCCCCCCCTAAAAAACATCCGTTTTAAGTCGACACGAAAGACAAAACCGTGCATATGCATGGATTCCGTCACGCTTTCTGACATTCGTTTGAGCATTTCAGAGCGCTGTGCGCAGGTTGACGATGTGATTCTAACTTAATAAAAGTAAGTGGGCTTGTGCAGGACACGTCATGGCTAGAAGGGATAAGATTAATGTTTAGTTTTGTTGAGTGTCGTTCATGCAAATTGCATCTCACAACCGCCGAGGAGCTACAGATGAGCTGGAAGGCAGAGAGGCCATGAACCGAATGCAACAATTTCCCAGGCTCTGCAGTCCTCTATATTTTAAGATGTTTTCAGCTAATTATTGGGTGTTTATACACACACACGAGAGGAAACTGGAACACCTGTAGAAAACCCATGCAAGGGGGTGGCAACATTGTATTCAATACAGAAGGCACATTTCATATTAGTGCACACTTTGCTGTCCTGCCTTCTGATGAACCAGGGTACAGCAAAATAGCAACCTCGATGCACTCGGGAGTAGAGTATCACAGCATTTATGCGCTCCACCAACCCTTGCCGCCACACTGCTGGGTTACAGGCCACTTGCACAGCCACCACCGCCGAATATCTGAACCGATCCTAGGCTTCCCTGAAGTGGATCCGGCCTTAAATGAGTACCTAGCGCGGTGTGTAAACAACATCAGTACCGTACTGGATTGAGGCAAAGGTGGCTGGACGTGATGCTGGCCACTAACCCCCCCCCCCCTCTTTTGCTGTGGCACCCTCAATAGGTGCTCGCTATATGCCTATCTGTATGTAATGTGTGTGTCGTTGCCTATGTGTATGTAATGTGTGTGTGTGTCGTTGCCCGTGTGTGTGTGAGGAGTGGTAGTGTAGTGGTTAGCACACTGCGCTACGAACCCGGCGACCCGAGTTCGATTCCTGCTCACAGCTAACACCAGTGAGAATTATCTGAGCCGGTCCTGGGCCTCCTCTAGGTTGATTCAGCCTCAAACGAGTTTCTTGGTGCGATGCGTAAACGTCGCCACTAGGGAGACAAAGGCGGCCGGGCGTGGTGTTGGCCACCCACCCCTTCGTACGTCGTGTCGGCCTACAATGATTTCCCGCTAACAGCACTTGCCCCAACAGTGTGTTAAGGCTATACGGAGGGTCTTTGCCTTTGTGTGTGTGTGTGTTTGTGAGCAGCAATACTTGATGCTCCATGACATGGTCGAAGCTCACAACGTGGTCGGGGTGGTCGTCTGCCGCCCAGGGAAAGGTAAGCATCCCTGTGTGTATGTGTGTTGCTGTGGTGTTGGCTATGCACGTGGGCCATAGTCCAACACTCTGGAGGCAGTGACAGTTGGTGGATCACTGCACAAATATTGTGAAATTATTTTCCTGCGGGCGTCCAGGAGGGTACTATAGCCTGGCTCGCCATGAGAAGGCGGTTCAGTAAATGCAGACTCCACCTGTTACATCTGTATGGAATCGAGTGTTGCCCCCTCACATGTGTGGGGTTTCTCCGGGTACTCCTCCCACACGTAAAAAAAAGACTCGCGCTCCTCCGTGTGTTGCGGATTGTGCCGTGTTGTGAGATGAATGGCACTGCTTATACTTATCGTATATATAATTGTATAGTGCCTTGGTCCAAGGCGCTTTACAATAATTGTAATTGTGATAGTGATTAAAATAAAGAGTGGGCTTATTAATAAAAGTGGTGTTGTAGTTATGGTGACAGGAGGAAGTTGGTAGGGGTAGGCTTAAGGGTAGTGATAGGGGTTGGAGTATGCCTGGTCGTAGCTGTGAACGGGGCAGGGAGTAGCAGTAGGATGCGCTCGGGGAGAAGAGATGAGGGTTGTTTTAAGGAAGGATCAGAAACAGGTTATTGTGAAGATTATTGTTTTACGCGCAGCGAGAGTTGGTTCCGGTGAAGGATGGGCTCGGGGAGAAGCGATGAGGGTTGTTTTAGGGAAGGATCAGAAACAGGTTATTGTGAAGATTATTGTTTTACGCGCAGTGGGAGTTGGTTCCGGTGAAGGGTAGCGAGAAGGGAAAAGGATTGAAAGCGAGACTGGGCGCAGGGCGAGGGAGGCACAGAGAGGGACGATAGACACTGAGTTCAGAGAGGATGGGACAGAGTAGCAAGACACGAGAGACGGGGAGCCACTTTACGGGGATAGAGCTTTGTTTACCCCACGCGTGAGGAGCAGGTTTTCTCCCGGTGCTCCGGTTTCCTCCCACGTGTATAATAAACACAGCTTGTCATTACTTGGCTGAAAGCTTCTTAAGATAAATACCCAAATGTAGCAGCGGCAGCAGGACCTTCCTGAAAAAGAGTCGTACGACTCCGTGTGGCTCTCCTGGATGAATTAGTGAATTAATTAAACAACAAAATTATTAGGAGCTTGCTAAAAAGCACTTGCCCCAACAGTCTAATAAAGGCTATAGTGGAAACTTTGTTTTTTTTTGCCCCCAGTGTGTAAGTGTGTATGTGTATCAAATGTGCATCTGTGTCTCTCTGTTTGTGATTCTATAATTGTCTCTGTATCCTTGCGTATCTGTGCGTCTCAATGTGCGTATGTCTCTGCATATATCTGTGTCTGAATGCGGGTGTGTATTAGTATCTGTGTACGTCCGTGTGTGTGTGTGTGTGTGCGCGCTCATCTCTCTGTCATCACTTCATCCAGACCCGGAGTCGATCCTGTCCACGGAGTTGGTTCCGGGAGATGTGATGGTGATCCCGCCCGGTGGCACCATCATGCCATGCGATGGAGCTCTCATTAGCGGAAGCTGCATCGTTAACGAGAGCATGCTCACAGGTCAGCCAGCGAGTCGCTCGCTCACTTACTTGCTCACTCACTCTCTCACCTACGTGCTCACGCAGTCCCCCAATCAGTCAGCCGATCGTTAAGTCACTCAGTTATTCATTCACATGGCTTGGCAATCAGTCAGGTCGATTTGTCAGTAAACGATCAGCCAGTCCGTAAATAAAGACAGTCATTCACCTTAGCTAGTGATTTATTGAGTGAGCTGTTCAGTATGTGCAGTCTTATAATCAGTTGCTCTCTCGCTCTATCAGTCATACAGTCAATAAATAAGTCAGGATATCTGTCAATCACTCAAGCATGGAGTCAGTCACTGGAGCAGTCGACAATAAGCCAGTGAGTGAGCGAAGTCATTCTATCAGGAAGCCATTCAGTCCCACAGCTGCTTTCTTCTCACTTCTCTGGGCTCTTTTCAGGGACACACGGTAACTCTTATAACCATGCCCGTATTTCATTTTCACCACCCTGTTTTAAATGAGGCTCGTCAGCTCACTGCACTTGAGAACCTGGTGTCAACTCGGATTCGCACTCAGAATCTCGGCGGTGTGGGCTCAATTCTCATACCAAAGCCATCATGAACCCCACTGTGAGACATCCAAACCTAGGGCTTGAACCTAGCCTCTCAGTGGCGCTGGTTCAGTGCTCTCATCATGGCTCTTACGAACAAAAAATAGTTCGTATATAAGTAGCGTCCAAATGACGTGGCTTCGCGAAGGGGGATCGACGTGGGATGCCAGGGCAGGGAAGCACAGGAGATGAGATGGGATGGGGGTGAGAATAGTGCTGTGGTGCAGCCTGGAACGAAGGAACAGGCGCTCAGCACCACCAGTGAGCCCCAGGTGCAGCCAGGGCAGCGAGTGCACCACCAACGAGCTCCAGGGCATCCTTGGGATAGAGTTATGGTTCTTTATCTGTTCAAGAATAGTGAGACCTGTTTAGCTTCAAGTTGTTAAGCTCAGGCATCTTATACGTTCTGACTCGGTGTCTTTATGATTCTTTATCAACATCGTCATCATCACAACCACTACCACCACCATCATCACAACCACTACCACCACCATCATCACAACCACTACCACCACCATCATCATCACAACCACTACCACCACCATCATCACAACCACTACCATTATCACAACCACTACCACCACCATCATCATCACAACCACTACCACCACCATCATCGCAACCACTACCACCACCATAATCACAACCACTACCACCACCATCATCACAACCACAACCATCATCGCAACCACAACCATCATCGCAACCACTACCAACACCATCATCATCACAACCACTACCCACCACCATCATCATCACAACGACTATCATCATCACAACCACGACCATCATCATCACAACCACTACCACCATCATCATCACAACCACTACCACCACCATCATCATCGTCATCATCACAATCACTACCATCATCACAACCACCACCATCATCATCACAACCACTACCCACCACCATCACAACCACTACCACCATCATCATCATCATCACAACCACTACCACCATTATCATCACCACAACCACGACCATCATCATCATCACAATCACTACCACCACCATCATCATCACAACCACTGCCACCACCATCATCATCACAACCACTACCACCATCACAACCACCACCATCATCATCATGATCACAACCACCGTGGTTGTCTCCATTGGCAGGCGAGAGCGTCCCCGTCACCAAGACGAGCTTGCCGCACCCGGTGGGCGATGCGACGGGGCAGGACGAGGTCTTCGACGCGGAAGCGCACAAGCGGCACGTGGTGTTCTGCGGCACACACGTGGTGCAGACGCGGTTCTACAGTGGGGAGAGCGTGCGGGTCGTCGTCGTACGCACAGGCACGAGACAGATACACGACACCGCCACTACCGCCTCTACCGCTACCACCCTCTACCACTACTGCGACCGGATCTACCACTACCGCTCCTACCACTACTTCTCTCGACCGCTCCACTACCACCCCTACCACTACCGCCCTCTACCACTACCGCCCCTACCACTATCTCCCGCTACCGCTACCGGCTTCTACCGCTACCGGCTTCTACCCCTGCCTCCCTCTACCGCTACCTCTACCCCTGCCTACCTCTACCGCGTCAACCGCCTTTGCTGCTACCACCCTCTACCGCTACCGCTCCTACCGCTATCGCCCTCTACTGCTACCGCTTATACCGCTACCGGCCTCTACCGCTACTGCGACCGTAAATACCGCTCCCGCCCCTACCGCTACCTCCATCTACCGCGACTGCTGTCTGCTGCTACCGCTATCTCCCTCTACCGCTACCGCCCTCTACCATGACCTCCATCCCTGTATCTGTTAGTACCTGTGTTTGTGTGTGTGTGTGGGAGGTTGTGGGGAGTGGTTTGATTCTCAGCCGTAGCTAACATCACAGGTAAGTGACATCACGGTCCTGGGCCTCTCCTAGGTTAACTCGGCATTAAATGAGTACTCGCTGCAGTATGTAAACATCAGCACCGGGGAGACCAAAGCAGTTTAGTCTGGTGATGCCCAATGCCAGCCTTCATAGGTGCTCACTCACAGCACACGCCTGAACAGTGTAGGTTACGTGAGGATCTTTATCTTTTGTGTGTACGTATTTGCGTGTTAATGCTCTTCTTTAAGCACTTGCGTCTGTGTACACACGTGCGCGATTGTGTGGGCCTTTCCTGGACTTGCCAGTAAAGTCTTAGACACTTTTCATGACCAGAGAGAAGTGCACCTAGTCTTGACACAAGAGCTGTCGCGATGTCACCACCACCTTGTGTGTTCATGCTGTTTCGTGTGCGCATGCGACTACATAGGCGAGTGTGTCCGCATATGCATGTGTGCACGTGCGGAGCAGAAGTGTAGTGGTTAGCACTGGGGAGACGAAGGCAACAACAGGGGCTTGGTGCTGTCAACCCCCCCCTCCCCACCTCCTGCGGCCGTGCCGGCCCTTAATAGGTGCTCGCTAGCAGCACTTTCCCCGACGGTGTGTTAAAGGCCATGCGGGGGATCTTTGTGCCACGCGTGCAGGGTTCGGCACGGCCAAGGGGCAGCTGGTGCGCTCCATCCTCTACCCGAAGCCGACCAACGTGCGCCTCTACCGCGACGCGTTCCGCTTCCTGCTCTTCCTGGTCGCCGTGGCGCTCGTCGGCTTCGTCTACACGGTCATCTCCTCCACGCTCAAGGGGGTGCGGCTCGCACGCACGCACGCACGCACGGGTCCCACACACACGCAGCTAGTGAGCGCTGTTAGCAAGCACCTATTAAGGCCAGCAAGGTGTGTACGTATGTGGACAACCGTGCTAGTCGGAGGTGCGGGGAAAGGATAACAAACTAAACGTAAAAAGCAACTTCTAAAGAAATGAGGGGGTGGGTGGCCAGCACCACGCCCGACCGCCTTTGTCTCCCCCATTGGCGATGTTTACCACACACCGCACCAGCCACTCATTTGAGGCTGAGTCGAGCTCGGGGAAACCCAGGACCGGTTTAGATGTTCGTCAGCGATGTTTGGTTCAGATAATTTTCACTGGTGTGGGCCGTGAGCGCGAATTGAACTCTGGTCACCGGGTTCGCTGCACAGCGCGCCAGTCACTACACTACCGCTCCCTACAATCAACACACAAAAACAAAGATCCCCCGTGTAGCCTTAACAGACTGTAGGGGCAAGTGCTGTTAGCGAGCACCTATGAAGGCTGGAACGGTACACGAGGGGGTGGGTGGCCAGCACCACGTCCGCCGATCGCCTTTGTCTCCGCGGTGGCGATGTTTACACACCGCACCAGGTACTCATTTGAGGCTGAGTCGACCTAGGGGAGGCCCAGGACCGGTTCAGATAATCGTCACTGGTGTTGGTCGTGAGCGGGAATCGAACCCGGGTCGCCAGGTTCATAGCACAGCGCGCTAACCGCTACGCCACCTCTCCCCACAACACAGACACACACACACACGAACACATCACAGCTTGCGCGTACAAACCTTGTACGCACAACTCACACGTAGAGCACGCTTGTACACATCTCACACAGCGCACAGGAGGCTCACCATCTATCACTCGAATGTCCTCGCTGTACTATGTGTCCTCGGTGAGCTTTTGTAGGCTTCTTTGCCCAGTGTTTAGCTTGCTTCCACCTCGGGTACCATCTGTACACGTTTGTCTACACGTCTCATGAGCATCCATTCCTCTATACGTGTCCTCACGCCTTCCCTTGTGTCTCCCCGTGTGTCCCTGGACGTCCAAGTGGCTTCTCGTGCATTTTCTTCACTCCCCGTGTCTCCCGTTGCAACCCTGTGTCTTTCTCCTGCATCCCCATTTTTTTTACCTCGTGTCCTCGTGTCTCCTTATGTCTCCCCTGTACGTCCCTGTGTCTCCCCGCGTGTTTCCTTATCTCCCCGTGTCTCCCCTTGTATCCCTGTGACCACCCCCCCCCACTCCCCATGCGTCCCCCGTGTCTCCATGCCCTCCTGGCGTCATGCGCCCGCAGGAGAAAGCGTCGAAGATTGTGGTGGAGGCGCTGGACATCATCACCATCACGGTGCCGCCGGCGCTGCCTGCCGCGCTCACGGCGGGCGTGGTTTACGCGCAGCAGCGGTTGAAGCGCGCGGGGATCTTCTGCCTGAGCCCCAACCTCATCCAGGTGTCGGGGCACACGCACCTCGTCTGCTTCGACAAGGTGGGAGAGGGTGGGGAGGGGGTCTTGCGCGGGCGCGGCCATCGTGATTCGCGCTCACTTGCTCGCTTGCTTTGCTGCTCGATCGATCGCCCACTCACTCACTCACCACTCATTTACTCGCTCGTTCACATGCTCACACACTCATTCGCTTGCACGATCACTCACTAACAGACTCGCTCGCTCACACGCTCCCCCACTCACCCACTCGCCCACACGTTCACTCGTTGGCACGCTTACTCACAGACGCTCTCACTCGCACATTTGGTCGCACACTCATTTGCTCACCCACTGACACGCTCACTCACTCGCGCGCGTGCTCACTCCGTGCATCCGTGTGTGTTTGCGCCCGCGTGTGGCCGTGTTCCCTGCGTGCTTAACAGACGGGAACCCTGACGGAGGATGGTTTGGATATGTGGGGCGTCATCCCGGTGGAAAACAATGTGTACGTGTGACCGCACGCACAACGCAAACACACACGTGCCAATACTATCATAGCAACAATAGGCGAGACTAGGTTCTCTTACGAGTATGGTGACGTCTGGTCGAATAACCCTCACGGCCTTCACCGCTTGGGGAGGAGGCCCTCGTCCAGCAGTGGATTGACGGGCTGCACACGCACACGTGCTCCGACACAGTGTGTGCGTGTGTGTGTACGTAAGTGTGGACTACCTACGTAAATATAGAAGTGTGTAAATATATATAATTGTATATATGAATGCGTATGTGCATTTGTACGTGTGCGCGTGCTTTTGTGTGTGATTCTGTTTGTGCATGCGCATACTTGTGCGTGTGATTAACTGTGTAGTGGTTATTGCATTGAATTACAAACTTGGCGACCTTTGCTCCTTTCCCGGCCACAGCTGACATCGGTGGTAATTGATTGATATTTGAACCGGTCCTGGGCTTCCCCTTGGGTCAACTCGGCCCTAAATGAGTACCTGGTGCGGTGTTTCATCATCAGCACTGGGGGAGATAAAGGTTGCCGGGCGTGAACGTGGCCACACCACCCCATCGTGGGCCCTGCGCCAGCCTTCAAAGTTGCTCGCTATTAGCACTTGTCTCCACATTCCGTTAAGGCTACACGGAGGATCGTTGTGTACGTCAATGTGTGTGCAGCTCCTCTCTTTTGGGGAGCGGTAGTGTCGTGGTTAGCGCGCTGCGCTACCAACACGGCGACCCGAGTTCAATTCCCGCTCACGGCCAACACCAGTATACATATCACCGCTAGGGAGACAAATCCGGTCGGGCATGGTGCTGGCCACCCACCCCCTCGTGTACCGTTCCGGCCTTCATAGGTGCTCCCTAACAGCACTTGCTCCAATAGTCTGTTAAAGGCTATCCTGGGATCTTTGTCTTTGCAGCTTCTCTCCCGTGTGCACCGAGATGTCGCACCCCGAGCTGGTGCACACGCCGCTGCTGGCCGCCATGGCCACCTGCCACTCGCTCACCCGCATCGACGGGCAGCTCACCGGGGACCCACTCGACCTCAACATGTTCAACGCCACGGGATGGGTGCGTGTGTGGCGCATGTGTGTGGTGTGCGCGCGTGTGGTGTGCGTGCATGGCGTGCGCGCTTGCGCAGCATTGTGGTGTGTGTGGTGCATGAGTGGTGCGCGCATGCACAGTGTGTGCGCTCACGAGTGGTGCTCGGTGGTGACCGTGAGCGAGTATACAGGCGAGGGGGTGGTGAAGAGATCTGTGGTGAGATGGTGTGTGGCGTTGAGCCGGGTGGTTAGGAGGTCGGTAGTGAGATGAGTGATGAGCGAGGTGGGTGATTAGTGCAGTGTGTGGTGAGAATGTAGATGGTGTTGAAGTGTATGGTGGTGAGGAGGTGGTGGTAAGTTTGAGGAGGAAGTGGTGAGGATGAGGAGGTGTTTGGCGAGGTGAGGATGTGGTGAGTGGATAGTGAGGATGTCTTTGTTCCCTGTAGGTGCTGGAGGAGGCCACCTCGGATGAGAACGCCAAGTTTGACACCATCATGCCCACCGTGGTGCGGCCGGCCTGCAACCCCAACGTTGCCACCAATCAGAAAGCGGCGTGTGACGCCGACTCGGCCAATCCCAACTCGGATCCTGACGTGGTGAGTAGCGTTTCACTGCGCGTGGGAATGAAGGCCGAACGAGTCACACGGGATTCATAACGAGAGTAAAGGCATTTGCAGCCATTCGTATTGGCTATCACAGAGCCACCACCATGGCCGCCCAGCTTTGGGTAGTTCCACTCGCGTCGCGAAACAACCACACAAGACAAAATTTCACTACTGCCGTATAGTTACGTGGAAGATAATTGTTTATAGTTTGAGAACGTTTGGTTTTTCTATGAAACTAGCGGGAAGTACCCGGCATTGCCCGGGTCTTAAAAATATTTAAAAACTACTCAGAAAAATCTAACATCAGTGCGTACTGACTATGGTGGTACCTGCTATGATTACAGCAGCGCATACCGACTGTGGTGGTACCTGCTATCACTACAGTAGTACATGCTGACTCTATTGCAGTATTTATCGACTGTATAGCACAAAGTACTCACCTGACAGAGTGGCGTGGTGAGGCATAGTCCTGTGCAGAGCCTCTGGCCTCGCCTAGATTGTCCAGCCGACCGAGGTGGCACCTGGCTATTTTTTTTACGTAAACCCCACCGTTGGAGAGACAAGCGCGCGACCGCACACAAAGCCAAACACACACACAATTTTTGACTTTTATATATATAGATTAGCCTATGGTTTGACACGCACATGAAACTGAATGCACCATTGCAGTCCTAGCGTGGATGAACAGTCCGTCTGTGAGGGCACGTGCGACCCCGCGGTATTTTATGAGCATTTCTACCTCATCAAGAAATGTGGGCAAATTAATTCCATCTTGATTACAGTCCCAAGTGGTTTCTCCAGGTCCTCTGGCTTTTCCCTCCAGATTTAGAAATTTGCGTTTAGGGTATTTGGCTACTATACATTTCCACATGATGAGGACTCTTCGTTGAGCTATCGTTTGTGGTCAGGTCGCTTCTGAAAAAAAGCTATACAGCTCAGTGGGCCTTACCTGGTAAAATCAAATAAGTAAATAAATAGTTGATTGGTTCAGTTAATGGTTGTGAAACTCCCTTCCCCGTGGGCTTCGAGGAAGTGACATAGCCTGGCCCATCAGGGGAGGGCGAATCAGCAATTGTAGACTCGACCTGTTGCATCTGTATGGAATAGAGTGTTGCCCCCTCGCAAGTGTGGGTTTTCTCCGGGTAATCCTCTCACAGGGGGGGGAAAAAAAAAAACACTCATCGATTGCCTAAAAACACTTTAATATATACACCCGCCACCAGACGGCCATGCAGGTCACACGGATTGTGTCTTGCTCTCAGTTTCGCGTGAGTGACGGTGCTCCATAAACACATTCGCCACACCATTCACTCGTTTTGGGCTTCGTTTGTCTCGTTTGCGTTGTCCGTCTCGGATGGGTTTTTTTTCCATACGTTCGCTGTTGTTTGTTCCGCCCGCCTCACGTGGTGGCCATTTGCAGATAATTTTCACCGAATGGTAATAAACGATCCATTCCTCGTGCAAAGCGAGGGAACGAGGGCAATGGCCGACGCGAGATGTTGACTACATCGCCTGGTATACAGGAGGTCGTGGGTTCGGTCCCACACCTGACGTCTGTATATATTTGGATTTTGCGTGTTCTCATCGTAGTCGAGTGGATTTTTTTCTCCGGGTCCGCCGGTTTTTTCCCTCCACATTTAGAATCGACACCGTGCGTTTAGAGTATTTGGCTGCTGTACATGATCAGCCACTTTGTTGAGCTATAATTTGTGGCCAGGTCGCTTTAAACAAAAAAAAAAAACCGTTGCCTAGCTCAGTGGGACTTACATGGTGAAAATAAAACGTTCAGTTTAGTTTAATGGTAACGCTTCCTTGTCGTTGTGTTTTTAGGAAATGTACGAGATCTCGGTGAGTGACGTATGCGGCGTTGTCTCCGGGCGCCGTGGCGCCCTTCCTACTCCCCCCACTCGCAAAATAAATACCGCGAGCCTGCCCCTTCTTGCCTCACGATCCACCTTTTCCCTGTGCGAAGCACTTGCCCCACCAGTGCGCTAAATGATGTGTGGGGGATCTTTGTTCTTATTTGTGTGGGTCTGTGTGTGTGTGTTGATATGTGTCGACAGGTATTCTGTGTGTGAGAGATCTGAACGGTGTGCGTGTGTGTAGATTGTCTATGAGTTCAGTGTCTGCGTGCGTCGGTTTGTTACGTGTGTGTGAGTAGTGGCATTAAGATTATATGTGTGTGTGTGCGCGTATCTGTGTGTGTGAGTAGAGCGGCTATGAGATAGCTTTGTGTGAGTGCTTGTCTGTACGTGTGCGCGAGGAAAACGGCTATGAGATCGTTGTGTGGTTGTGTGCCTTACTGTGTATGTGTGCGTGTCTATGTGAGTGGCTATGAGATTGGTGTGTGTGCTTGTCTGTGTGTGTGTGCGCGTATCTGTGCGAGTGACTATAAGATCAGTGTGTGTGTGCGCGTTTGTGTGCGTGTCTGTGCGAGTGGCTTTGAGATCTGTGTGTGTGTGCGCGTGTCTGTGTGTGCGTGGGTGAGTAGAGTGGCTATGAGATCGGCGTCGTGCGCGAGTTCCCGTTCTCGTCGGAGCTGCAGCGCATGAGCGTGGTGACGCGCACGCTGAGCGCCCGCTGCATGCACGCGTACTCCAAGGGCGCGCCCGAGACCATCATGCGGCTCTGCGTGCCAGCCAGCGGTAGCGCACGCACATGCACGTATATGCACAGGACAAACACGTACAAAGGCAAAAATCCCTCGCATCGCCTGAGCAGGCATTTGGGGCAAGTGCTGTTAGCGAGCATTTATGAAGGCCGGCATGGCACTTGGCTGCCTTTGTCTCCCTAATGGCGATGTTTGCACACTGCATCAGGTACTCATTTGAGGCTGAGTCGACCTAAGGGAGGCCCAGGACCGGTTTAGATAATCGTCAGCAACGTTTTGGCCTTGATTGGGAATCTTACTTGGGTCGCCGGGTACGTAGCACAGTGCGCTGACCGCTGCACCGCCGCTCTCTCCCTCCCCGGATGCCGTCCCGGCGACTCTGCTGTTCCCCTGCTTCTCCCCAGTCCCCAAGGACTTTGCCGAGGTTCTGGAGCAGCACACGCGGCAGGGATACCGCGTGATCGCGCTCGCTCACCGGGCCCTGCCGCACAAGCTCAACTGGCACCGCGTGCAGCAGGCGAGCCGGTAACGCAGCCCGTGACAACATCGCCATCATCGTCAACATCGCCATCATCATCATCAACATCGACATCGACAACGTCGCTATCATCGTCAACATCGTCGTCAATCTTGCCATCGTCGTCAATCTTGCCATCGTCGTCATCTTCGGCGTCATCATCGTCAACGTCGGCATCAACATAAACATCGCCATCAACTTCGCCATCATCGTCAACATAGCCATCATCGTCAAAATCGACGTAATTTGCATCGTCGTCAACATCGGCGGTCCTGGGCCTCTCCGGCGTCAACTCATTTTTAAACGAGTAGCAGGTGCGGTGTGTAAACATCAGCACTGGGGAGACAAAGGCGTGATGTTGGCCACATATGGCCTTGTCTGCTGTGTGGGTCTTCAGCGTTGTTCACTAATAGCATTTGTCCCAACAGCCTCTACTTTTGGTGTATTTGTTATTGTTTGTCGGCATGTGCAGGTGCCTATGCCCGTGTGTATATGTGTGTGTATCAGGGACGTGCGGTCAGGGGAGGCAGGGGAGCTAGAGCCTCACCTGTCATACTCCAATGAAAATAGCTGTTACTAAAAGTAAAACAAATGAATAATCAAATAAAATACATTTTAAGATTTTTCAACTGATCTGTGTTATAAATGTCATTTCTGTACGATTCCAGTCATTTTTATAGTCAAAATCGCCAAATTTGCGAAGCTCCGCTGCAAATACAGGAAGAGACGAGAGGTGAGGCAGCGACGAGCTCAGCCTCCCCTCTGATTGTGCAACCCCTCAGTAACTGGATGGAGCGCGGGAAATAAGCGCGTGCCTGTTACTATCTCAGTATGTCACCAATGTAATGTTTGTAGACCCCTTCATTTCATGTCCTTGCCTTCCATACTCCAGGTAACTTATTTCACGTATGTGTATAAAGGTATTTAGGCTCGCTGGTCTCGTCATAAAACTGCAATGAAATAGCACCAGGGGAGGCAGCTATCACATCTGCCTCACTGAGGGGGACATGTCTAACACGCCCCCCCTCAGTGAGGCCACGCCCCCTCAGTGAGGCCATGCCCCTCAGTGTGAATCTGGCTCTGACACTAGCCAGTGCTTCCCCAGCCATTGACCTCACCGCACGTCACTGGTGTGTATGTATTTGTGCGTGCATGCCTGTACGTAGTGACACGATAGAAAGCGGGCTGCAGATGCTGGGTCTCATCGTAATGCAGAACAAACTGAAGCCCGAGACGGAGCCCGTGCTGCAGCAGCTGAAGGAGGCGCGGATCCGGACCGTCATGGTCACGGGTAACGGAGCGGCACATGGGGACACGCACACACGCGGGAGCGCACTAACCACGACACTCCCACTCCCCAAGAGAGGAGCTGCACGCACACATATATGGACAACAATCCCCCGTGTCGCCTTCACACATTGTTGGGGCAGTGCTGTTAGCGAGCACCTATGAAGGCCGGGAGAGTACATGTGGGGTGGGTGGCCAGCACCACGCCCCGCCGCCTTTGTCTCCCGAATGGCGATGTTTACACACCGCACCAGGTACTCATTTGAGGCTGAGTCGACCTTGGGGATGCCCAGAACCGGTTCAGATTATCGTCACGTATGTTGGCCATGAGCGGGAATCGAACTCGGGTCGCCGGGTACATAGCGCAGCACGCTAACCGCGACGCCACCACTCCTCACAAACACAACCACATACACACATGCACATACACACACAGATGCACGCACCCATGCCCAAACAGTCCACTGCATTTTCCCGTCAATGTATTCACAGGCGACAACCTCCTGACGGCTATGTCAGTCGCACGGGATTGTGGGATGGTGAACGCCAGCGATGAGATCATCGTCACCGAGGCGACGCCTCCTGGAAACGGTCTCCCGGCAACCATCACGTGGCACCCGGAGCGGCCAATCAGCAACGAGCAGCCGCAACAGGTGGGCGTGGCCATGACAGAAATGGTGTCCGGCCACACGTGGCAACGTCAACCCCCAACTGCAAAAATATGTCAGCGCACTCCTTCCGACTCAGCAAGGCTTTCCTGGGTGAACGAGCGTAACAGTAGGAATACAATGATGGGAGCGGCACTGATGGAGGTAACGTTGGCGGTAGCCTTGGGTGTGGGTTTGGGCTTGCATAGATATTTGTGCACGTAGATCAATGGGCGTGTCGGCCTTTAACACATGTGGAAATGCACCGTGGTGGCCATACTCCGACCACCACCGTGCATTTCCACAAGTTGGCGCTTACTAACAACGCCATCACACCGCAGGTCACGACACTTCACCTTTCTGCTTCTTCCTTTGCACTGCTCCAATTTGGAATTCCCTCATATTCGTCTCTTTTCCCCAAGCTCTTACAATAACCTTGCTCAATTCGAGAAACGTGTCGACACTTAGGACTTTGAAAGTGCTGTTTGTTGGCCGATTGGTGGTTTGGGCCTGTGCTCAGCAACTTTGTGGAAAAAAAACAAACCTCGCCCAACAGTCTCTGAGCCCAGATGAAAGATCTTCTTCTCATTGCGTGAGCACGTACAGTTGTGACTGTGCGTGCATGCGTGAGTCTGTGATCGTGAATTTTGGGCGTCTGTGATTGTTCATTTGTGTTTGTGATTGTGTGTTAGCAGTCGACGCGCTGCACTACGAACCCAGCGACACCAGTTATATTCCCGCCAATACCAGTGACGATTATCTGAACTGGTTCGGGGCCTCCCCTAGGTCAACTCAGCCTCGAATGAGTACCTGATGCGGTGTGTAAACATCGCCAATCGGGAGACAAAGGTGCTGACCACACACTCCCTCGTGTGCCATGCCCTCACGTGCTGGCCTTCATAGATGCTTGCTAACAGCACTTGTCCGAACATTGGGGTAAAAGCTATATGGGGCATCTTTGTCTTTGTTTGTTCCACAGGGCTGCGTAGTGAACATGTCCTCCAATCATGAATACCACTTTGCGATGAGCGGAAAGTCGTTTGCCATCATCTTTGACCACTTTCCGGACCTCCTGCCCAAGGTGCTCAGCTGATAGACACCACACCACTGCACACTCTTACACCATACCGCCCCACGCTCACGCCATACTAGACCACACCAAACTCCCCCACACACCATGCCACACCGCACCATGTATCATACCGCACCAAACCTCACCACGCCACTGTCATACTGCATCAGCTCCGCTGCACTGTTGTACATGATACACCCCACAGCATTGTGTCACAATCACCCCACACCACTCCACCTTACGACAACAAACCAAACCGCATCGCACCGCACCCAACCATCGTTCTTCACCACCCCGCGCTCGGCACACTGTACCACACGTCGTTGGGCAGCGCGGTGGCACAGTGGTAGCTCGTGTCTCGCGGCAAGAGCGACCTGGGTTCGATTTCCGACTCGGGGGGCCTTTCTGTGTGGAGTTGGTATGTTCAGCCCCTGCTGAGCACGTTGGTTTGCTCCGGGGTTCTCCAGGTTTCCTCCCATAGCTAAAAGAAAAAGGGCAATGTAATTGGTATTGGTCAAGCAACCTGATGCAGGACCCTCCTGAGAGTCTTGGACTCGGTGTGGTTTTTATGGGTAGATCAGTAATTATTTTTTATCTTAAAACTTTACCCGCCACGTCACGGTGCGCCATACCGCACACTGCATCACACCGAAACACCGTGTTGCATCACGCCATACGCCATGACGCGCCACACCACGCACGACGTCACACCACACACCGTGGCACGCCACGCACCATTTCACGCCACACTACACACCGTGGCACACCGCACCACGTCGCGCCACACCACACATGTTACGCCAGACCACACACGATGTCACACCACACCAATGCCCCACCACACAACACACACCATGTCATGCCACACCACACACCATACCACACCACATACCATCCTGCGCCATACCACACATGTTGTGCCACACACCATGCCACACCATACTACACATATTGTGCCACACTACACACCATGTTGTACCATTTCGCACACCTAAGTGTGGGTCACATTTTGTTGACTGCGTGTGATGTGTCTGTGTTCCGTCTTGTGAGGAGCGGAGAAGTGATTAGTGCACTGTGGTATGAACCCAGCGACTCGAGTTCAATTCCCACTCAGTGACAAATATGTGAACCGATCCTGTGCCCCGTTTATGTCGATTTGGCCTTAAATTTGTACTGGTGCGATGTATCAACATCAGCACTGGGAAGACAAAGACGGCCGGGCCTGGTGTTGGCCACCCACCCCCTCTTGTGCCGTGCCGGTCTTCATTACGTGTTTGCTTACATCACTTGCCCCAACAGTGTTTAAGGTTATTCGGGGGGTCTGTCTGTCTCGTGAGCAGATTGTGCTGCGTGGAACCATTTTTGCCCGGATGTCTCCAGACCAGAAAACACAGCTGATTGAAGTTCTACAGGGCATGGAGTAAGACACGCACATTGTGTGGGTTTGTGTACGTGCATGCCTGTGCGTGCGTGTGTGCAAGTGTATGGAATGGTAATGTAGTTGTTGGCGCGCTGAGCTACGTCCGAAAACTGCGCACGTAAAAAATTGTACAGCGTTGTACGATGCAAGTTTTCGTGAGCGATGCTCTATTAAAGAGCACCTTCAATTACATTAACCCAGCCTGTTTTGTGTGTGTTTGCACGCACGTGCGTTCTGTGTCTATGGAAGGATATGTGTGTTGTGTGTATATGTATGGATGTGTGTGTATATGTGTAGAGACATGTAAATAGCGTCTCTACGGCGTATATGCCGACTACAACTAAAATTGGTAAAGGAGGGTGCACGTACCTCTTCGAGGGAGCCGACGGAGACGTGGCGGAGAAGCAGGCCCTACGGAGCAGGGTCCCGTCGCAGAGAGAGATAGGGGACATGCCAACTCAGGGGAGTGTAGGGGGCCCGGAAACGGGGGCCCGGAGGACACGTGACGCTGGCTCCGGTTCCGTCTCGAGAGACCGAGGAAGGGGCGTGGCCGGGGGCGGAGCGAGGCCACGCCCCTTCGGATAAGAGGGACGGGGGCGGAGCGATCGGGGTTGTCTGACGGAAAGAGCTAACCGTGCGGCGTTGCTTCGGGGGTCTTGGAGCGTCGGTCGTTTACATAGAGACCCCTTTGGGGGTCTAGAGGAACCCCGAGTATTGCTAACCCGTAGCCCTGTTCGGTTGTGAATAATTCGTGGTGCCTCCAGAATTCTGTGTGTGCCTCGTGAGACACACACACACACACTGCATATGCAGTATGTGTGTGTGTGGGAAGCGGTGGCATAGTGATTAGCGCACTCTGAATCCCGCATTCCTTGATTTGATTCCCGCATTGCTTGATTTGATTCCCGGCCAATGTTAACATCACTGCTGACTTATAACTAAACCCTCCCCTAGGTCACCTCAGCCTTAAATGAGTACCTGGTGCATTGTTTAAACATCAGCACTGGGGAGAAAGAAGTGGCCGGGCATGGTGCTGGCCACACGGGCGCCTTATGCACCATTCTGGCCTTAATAGGCGCTCACAAACACCACTTGCCCCAACAGTCTGTTGAAAGCTATGTGGGCTGTCTTCGTCTCTCGTCTCATTCTGTACAAGTGCTGACGTGGCCATCTGCTGTTTCACAGCTACTGCGTGGGGATGTGCGGTGACGGAGCGAACGACTGTGGGGTGAGTTGACGCACACCCGCACACAGATCAAGCACGTGTACTCGCACACACACACACGTACTGCGCGCGTACCCACACACACATACTTTGGGTGTACTCGCCCACACACACGCACTGCGCGTGTACTCTCACACGCACACACGGAGTATGTAATCATGCACATTTGGCCTGAGCGGGTCGCAGGCAGAAGCTTTACAAGTTCAAATCACGGTTGGGAGTTGACATCAAGTGCCACCTTGTGGGAATGTCGGAATGCGTGAGACATTATAAGAACGGAAGTACGAGGGTTCTTGCAGAGTTGAGACGTTGGGGAGAGAGTGAGAGCTCAGGATCAGTGACTACTCTGGGATTTCTCAAGCTCTTGCCAGTGTGATGTCAGATGTTTCGCTGATACTATCAGAAACTAAAACTATTTTTAATTTTTACCAGGTAAAGCTCACTGAGCTATCCACCTCTTTTTTTAGAAGCGACCTGACCACAACTGCTCTAAAATGCACGTTGATTCTAAATGTGGAGGGAAAAACCAGACCACCCGGAGAAAAATCCACGCAACCACGGGAAGAACATACAAACTCCAAATATACAACAGGCGTCAGGGTTGGGATCGAACCCACAAACCTCTTGTACACCAGGCGGGGTAGTTAACATCTCGCCACCGCAGCAACAAGTAACAAGACATTGTGTTGAAAATCCACAAGACTTCTATATGAATCCTAGATTACTGCAATCGACTAACCCTTAAAAAAAAAACCTTGATTAATACAGACAATTTTTATATATTTTTTCAAAACCTGCATTAAACTGCTAATTGAGCATAAAACAATCGTAAGAGGAAAATCTGAAGTGACCAAACGACTTGGAATCAAACAGTGCTTTGGTAGTGCAGTTGCGGATGGTGTTGTGTATGTAGTGTTATTGGCGGTACTGCTTTTAATAGACTGTTGGGGCAGGTGCTGTTAGCTGGCATGCCGCACGAGGCAGCGGTGTAGGCCAGCACCACGCCCCCCCTTGCCTTTGTGTCTGCAGTACGGATGTATTCGCATTGCACCGGATACTCATTTACAGCTCAGTTGACATAAGGGAGGGCCAAAGTCGCTCACCAATGATGTTGGCAGTGGCCGGGAATCGAACCAAAGTTGCTTGGTTCGTAGTGCGCTCACCACCGCGCCCACCACTCCCCACAACTCGCGCAGGACCACGGGGTAAGTGTCGTGCTGGCGGCGGCGGTTGTGTTGCAGGCGCTGAAGCGAGCCCATGCTGGGATCTCGCTCTCCGAGCTTGAGGCGTCCGTCGCTTCCCCGTTCACCTCCAAAACGCCCAACATCTCCTGCGTCCCCACGCTCATACGGTAACATAGCCGGCACCATTCGTGATGCACACACAATACACACGGCGCTCGTGATACACACACGGTACTACGGGAAATACAAAGTAATGCAGAACACACACGGCTTGCTTATAGGACACATGACACACACTCCCGTAACACGTGACATAGGGTTCACGGGACATGGGGCACACAGGATACAGAGGATGGACAGGCCACGAGAGATAGAGACGCATGAAGCACACAGACATGCACACGGGGTCAAGTGGGACTTTCATTGTTTCTGCACTGTGCTTCGATCCGGCGACCCGAGTTGGATTCTCGGTCTGCGAACGTCAATGACGTGTGGTATCTGCAGCAAATCTGGGAATCCCCAAGGTCAACTCGCCCTTGAATGCATATCTGGTGCGACTGCTCGCTAACAGCACTTGCCTCAGTGGTCTTTGTCGACTGTGCGGGTGATCTTTGTTTTTGCGCGCGTGTGTGTGTGTGTGTGTGCGTGCGCACGCAGGGAAGGACGTGCGGCTCTCATCACCTCGTTCTGCGTGTTCAAGTTCATGGCGCTCTACAGCATCATCCAGTACCTGTCCGTGCTGCTGCTCTACTCAGTACGCACACCAACGCAGCAGCGCCATTAGTGCCCTGACCGCCACTTACTCGCTTGCTCTCGCCACGAGGCCGATGCGCGTCACACGCGCACTTTGGAACGACGGCACTCCGACCTTGCATTTCTTTCTCACGGAATATTTTCTAGGCCGCTGTGTAGCCGGGGGTAGGTGGCACGTGACTGGCTGGAAGACAGGCATAGTGAAGGGTTATCTTTGACACTTGTTGCCGTCACATGGGGAGAGACGGTTAAATTCAGGGAAGCGCAATGCTCGTTTTTTGGGCGAAGACAACCCCCCCCCCCCCCCCCCCCCCGAGCGACATCATCGACCCATAAGGATGAAGACAGCGGAATAAGGGTTCTCATATCAGCCCCGATGGCCTCGAGCAACGCTGCCTGTTGAAGTCTGTTCAACCGGAACGATCGGTGCTTTTAAGTCCAGACTAAAACCATTTTTCATCTCCAGCGCCGTCCGCGCTTCTGCCGAATCACGGCTCGTTATAAATTTCACATTGATTGATTGAATGCATGCTGGGTGTGGTGTGTGCATCCATCCCCGAGTAAACAGACACTTTTGAAATTGTAGTTTTTGCGGTGCTACGTCCGGTATTTGTTCAAACGCTCTTCGACTTTCCAGTTGGTTGTTAATACTCATTACCAATGTAATGTTGAAATATAACCTAGTGCACAGTTTAAACACTGCAAAATAAAGTCCTGCATTTTTTTTTCTTCTCCAATTTTATCCCGATTGTGCTTTCGGTGCCATGGGATGAATTATCCGTTTGGATCTCTCGCAGAGCATCGCAACCCCCTCCGTGTTAGAGTAGGGACCGTGGAAGCAGATACCACAGAGCTATGTCCGCTGACCCACGCGGTAGAGGGCAGCAATTTTTCAGCCATCCTGCCGCCCAGGAGTGTTCATCTGACGGCATTCAAACTGGGTTTTAAATTCTCAAATCTGAAATTTTGCCTAAATAAATGTGGATGCACGTTTTATGTCATAGTTGGGTTTTTTTTGTTTTTACTTTTTTATTATGCAGTCATTGGTGAGTGGACCACACTTGAGAAACCCAGTTTACTCGCAGGCAGTGGCTGAAAGCTGGATTCGAACCCAGGTTTCTTAGCAGTGCCGGCTCAGCATCCCTGACCTCTGAACCACCCGACCACCTCAATACTGTTTTTTGTTTTTTTATTGAGCCCGCAACTGCAAACATCACAGAGGGCATCTGAACATGCTAGCCAACCACATCACTATTATTTCGATTTAAAGCTTTCGTGCCTGCAAGGATTCATCTTTTTTGGTTCTTTCGGTAAAGTCACGTAGAATGAGAATAAAATAATAAATTAATTAATAAAATAACACAATGAAGGCCACTTGTGTTGTGGCCGTAACGTCGTGAGAATTTTATTGTGTTATTTTATTAATTTATTATTTTATTCTCATTCTACGTGACTTTACCGAAAGAACCAAAGAAGATCACTATTATTGTTATTGCATCCCCTTAACACGTGCCACCACGTATCCAGGACCTCAGAGCAGGGATGCTGATGTACCCAGAGGTTCTGACGCGAGGATCTTCACACCGACAGAGAGAAGACCCCTGCCATGGAACCGTGATTCTTGCAATCTCTTTTCTTGTTTTCTTCCAGATTTTGAGCAACCTGGGTGATTTTCAGTTTCTCTTCATTGACTTGGCGATCATACTGGTTCTGGCCTTCACGAGTGAGTATCGCTATCCCCCTAGCACTGTCATTATCAGCAACATCACATTAGCACCATCATTGTCGGAGGAAGAATAATCTTCATTAATAACACTATAATCAGCACTCTAATCACCATCAGGTATCAGCAGCAGCATCATTAACGTCAAGACTATCAGGAATCGCGCAGTCAAAATAATTATCATCGTTAGTATTGCCATCGGCAACATCATTGACATTCACGGAGTTAACATCGTTGGAGAGGGTTAGTGGAGAGTGAAATATAGAGGTGCCTGAAAAAGAGTGGGCGAGCGAGCGGTTGAACGAGTAGGTGAGTGAGGGAGCAAGTCGGTGAGATTATATTTAAGTGAGTGAGTGAGCGAGTAAGTGAACAAGCGAGCAAGCGCATGAGCGAGTGGTATTTGTCTCTTGGCCCCCGCCCCCTCAGTCCCCCTGAACGGTGCCTGGCCGCAGCTCACGGCCATGGGCCCCCCCAGCTCGCTGCTCTCCGTGCGCCTGCTGCTGTCGGTGGCGGCGCAGGCGCTAACGTGCCTCGGCGTGCAGGTGTGCGCCTTCCTGCTCACGCAGCGGCAGCCCTGGTACCAGCCGTGGGCGCCCAACATCACGTGAGCACCGCCCGCACGCACGCACGATGACTCGCGCACGATGAAGCGCACACAATTGTCCATATAACCTACACGCGCGCACGCACGCACACGAACACACTCTCCAACAAACACGGACTTGTGAAGGAGTCTCGCTCAATGTACTGGCTTGACCATCTTTACTCCCCCACCCCCTCCAGGTTGTGTCCTGGTGAGGAGACGCCGCTCAACTCGACGGACTGGGTGCACGACGAAAACAACATCCGCAATGCCGAGAACACGACGCTGTTCTTCGTGTCCTCCTTCCAGTACATCATCGTGTGCTTCGTGTTCGCCAAGGGGAAGCCCTACCGGCAGCCCATCTACAAAAACCGTACGCGGCCCCACGCGGTGTGCATGTGCGCATACGTGCGCGCGTGTGTGTGTGTGTGTGTGCGTGTGCGCGCGTACGTGCGCGTGTGTGTGCGCGTGTTGTGTTTGTGTGCATTGGGTGACGGAGGCTCGTGAAGGACGCTGCGGGGCGGTTGGAGGTAGTCGCCCTCCAGCAACAGCAGAGAACGGAGGAGCAACGCTCATAAAAACAAGCGGAGCACCGGTCGGATAGAAATGCAGCACAGTGGGGAACACAGCTGTTGCATCTCAGTCAACCCATTGCACCTGGGTCTGTCACGTGATCTCCTGCCAGCAGTGAGCTTTCCACACTTCACCGTGACGGAACGCTCTTCCCTCCGATATTAGGAAGCCACTGGAGCTGTGCACTTTTAAATCTCGATTGAAAACTAATTTCTTGAAGTGCTTTTTGTAATTAGTTTGTTGTCCTTCCCCCGCACTTCCGATTAACACGGTTGGCCATGTAGGGTACGAAAGAAGTTCAACATACATACCTTACTGGCCTTCAGAGGTGCTCGCTAACAATACTTGCCCCAACAGTCTGATAAAGGCTATTTGGGAAATCTTTATCTTTGTGCCCCTCCATGTTTGTGCGAGTCATTAGCTCACTGCACTTGGGTTCGATTCCCAGCCCTGGACACAGCTACCTTCACTGACGATGATCCGAACCGTGTCTCCGTGTCCCTGTGCGAGCAGGTCTCTTTGTGGCTGGGCTCATCATTCTCCCGGCGTTCCTCACTTTTCTCATGTTCTACCGATATCCCGGCATGGATGACTTCTTTGAGGTATCTCGTGCGTGCGTGCGTGCGCGTGCACCTGTGTTCGTGCGCGCATTCGTGTCGTGTGTGATGCTGTTGTCGGCGCACTGCACTATGAACCCCGAGACCCGAGTTCCATTCCCGCTCACGCCCAACAGTGGTGACGAATATCTTCACCGGTCCTGGGCCTCCTCTAGGTCGACTCGGATGGAAATAAGAACCTGCTGCGATGTGTAAACATCACCATTGGGGGAGACAAAGGTGTAGCGCTGGCCACAGCCCACCTCCTTATATACCGTGTTGGCCTTCATATGTGCTCGCTGACTTGCCCCAAAAATGAAGCGTATATGGGGACCTTCGTGTGCGCATGTTTTATCTGGTGCCTTCATCCGTGCTGCTCACTAACAGCACTTTCCCCCCGAAAAAAAACTGTTGGGGGCTATACAGGGATCTTTGTCTTTGTACACTGGTGCAGGGGTGAACTTGCGTCAGCGAGCCTTCCACACTTCATGTGGCCTCAAAGCGAACCTAACCTGGCACAAGCTCCGTGCTGACGTCACCGCCACTTAGTGGCCTATGGCGGCTATTGTCGTGGTGCGGTGGTGTTCGTATGTTGTGTTTTGAACCCGGCGATGCGGGGGTCGATTCCCGGCAATGGCTGACATCGTTGGACGAGTGATATCCGCGCTGGTCCTGGGCCCCTCTTAGGTTCACTCGCTATTGAATCAGCACTTGGTGCCGGGGAGGAGAAAAGGACGGCCAAGCATGGCGGTGGCCGCTCCAATCCCTGTTTGTGTCACTCGCCGCAAGAGCGTCAAAAGCTGCAGGGGGGATGTTGTCGTTTGTGTGTAGTCTGTTAAAGGCTATATGGGGGATCTTTGTCTTTGTAGCTGATTTGCATCCCGATGGTGTGGCGGTGCTACATGTTGGGCTTTGTGGCAGCGAACCTGGTGATATCTGTATTGCTCGAGGTAAAGCAGCATACATACATACACACTGCTTCATACACACACACACACACGCACTCATTCACGCACACACACAGTTATATCCACAGACCGGCAACTTCCACCTGGATGCACACACATGCACACACACACACACTCTTGCACAGCTTCATACCCCTCGCTCGCACACACTACACACACACACACACGCTTGCACAGCTTCATACCCCTCGCTCGCACACAATAAACACACGCGCGCTCGCATGCACACGCACAGCCCATACACACTCCCGCATGTGCAGAGACCCAAACTGATTCACACGTACATGCGCGCTTACGTACGGCAAACCACTTCATGGACACAAAATTAACTCGCGCTCGCACAGATTCACATGCACGCACACACACGTGCACACGTACACACACACGCACTCACACGTACACACACACGCACACACACAGGCACACATAATTGCACCTTTACAGATGTCCGCACCCGTGAAGGCATACACACACAGTCTTACAATAATTGGCTGGCTGACCTGGCCATGACGAACCACACCCATAATTGGCCAGGGTTGGTGGATCACACAGAGGTAGAACCTGCAGGCCTCTAGTAGGCAGTTAAACCAAGTAGGTCTCTGGCAGGATTTCATATTTTCTGCTGACAGTTAGAATCAGAATCTTTATGTATAGTGGAGGAATCTGAAGAGCTATAAAGCTCTTTTTGACACACGTCTAGCAGGGGTGGGTCAGAACGTTACAACAATAAACGATGCAAAAATACGATAGCAATTGCAGGAAAGGTAAACAAATCACTTGAAAAATATACAGAAATAAAACTAAACTATTTTTATCTTACCAGGTGAAGCCCACGGTGCTATTAACTTATTTTTCAGAAGCGACCTCGCTGCAAATGATTGCTCAACAAAGTCGCTTATCACGTGAAAATGTATTGCAGCCAAATGAAATAAATAATTGAAGCGCGCGTTTCTAAATCTGGAGAGACATGCAAACTCCAAATATACAGGAGTCAGGGTTCTGGATCGAACCCCTGATCTCCTGCATACCAAGCGACAAAAATAACATCACACCACCGTCGTGCGCCTTAAATAGAAAAAATGAAGTATATAAGTTCAAATTGCATTCGTATATCCATTTTCAAGCAAAAACATTCCCAGACCACATTAAGACAAAACACAGTCCCGCAACAAAATTGTACATTAAAATTGAACTATTGATACATTGTGCAGAATCAAATCCATAAACCACATTGGCTAATGTGGCTGTATCCAGTACTAAACTCCGGATGTTCCATCTAAAACGATTAAAATATTTTGGTGAAAAACTCAACAAATATTCCACGTGTTTTCTCCCGGCACTCCGGTTCTCCTCCAATAAATTAAAAACGAAAGAAAAAAAACCTCAAGTGGAATTGATTTGAAAGGTCCTGAACAACAGGAACCTCCTGACAAATTTGCCTCGCTAGGGCTTTCTTGGCCCATCGATAAAAAATGAAAACGATTGTTACTATTTCCGTAGTGAGTGTGATGCGCATCACACTCGTAGTGAGTGTGATGCGCTCACACTCACGCGCCCAGCCGTGACGCACCGCATGCCCGGGCATTTGTGTGCCGTTTGCTCGGCTGCTGCAACTGTGCTTGTGGCGGGCGGCGCGTTGCCGTCCTGCATGCACGGTACGGTACACTCCCTCATCCCGGTTCATCATTGCTGTCCCCAATCGTCGCCCGGCGTTACCGCGAGCAACTTCAGTTTCAACTCCCATCACCGACAGCCGTAGTCGTCATCAATAGCATCGCCTTTGTAAATGCTCCGTCATCACCAGCAGCGTCATCATCATCATCATCATGCTCGGCAGCATCACCGCCAACATCCCGTTATCGTCCCCCACCAGGTAATGTGTATGTATGTACGTTGAACTTCTTTTTCACTGTACGTAGCCAACCACGCTAATCGGAGATGCGTGGGGAGGACAACAAACTGTACACAAAAAGCAGTTCCAAAGGAATTAGTTTTCATTCTATATTTAAAAATGCATCAGCTCCTAGTGGCTTCCTAATATCAGAAGGAAGAGCGTTCCAGGTGACCGCAGAAGAGTACCTGAAAGCACGCGATGCAGTGAGCATCTTTAATAATTAATTAATCTGTATAGTTTTCATTTTATTATTATTATCTTAGTCCCCTTCACTAATACCCGTCATCACCGCCAATAAATAATCGTTATTGCCAATAACATCCTTGCCATCATCATCAGTCACCATCACTAATATGTTATCATCAAACTCTTAGCCATTCTCACATCTGTCATCATTAACACCACCGCCGAATTCCTAGCCACTTTCATCATCACTGTGATCGTCACTACTATCATCGTCATCATCACCAGTCATCCTCAGCGATAGCCACACCTCGTGCTACCCCGTTGTCAAGTGTCATGCGTCTCTGTTGCGTTGTTGGCTTTGCCGCGGCGGTTTGTGAGTGCACAGTGCATGCCCCCTGGTCGTGACTGCCCCACCCTCCACACCGATCCCTCGTGAACAAGCACACTCACTAACGAGCACGCTTACAACGAGTCCGTTCGTTCGTGAGCTGACTGGTTAATGAGCTTTCTCTGCAATGAGCAGGGTTCTTAATCAACTATTTGGCTGTTAGTTGCTTGACTAGCAAGCTGGCGAGATAATTGGCTCGTTGACTTGCTAGTTGATTAACTTGCTAGTTTATTCGCTGATAGGGTAATTACTTAGCCCTTCAGCCAGCTTGCTGGCTGGCTAGTTTATTAGCTGACCAATTTAATGTGTTTATTGTCTAGTTGAATTATCTGGCTGATTGGTTAGTTAATTATTTGGCTGGTTGAATATTTTGGCTGGCTAGTTGAATAACTTGCTGGTTGACTATCTGACTGGATAGTTTACGAGCTGGCTGGCTAGTTGACTGACTGGATAGTGGACTGACTGGATAGTTTATTAGCTGGCTGGCTAGTTGACTCACTGGGTAGTGGACTGACTGGATTGTTTACGAGCTGGCTGGCTAGTTGACTGACTGGGTAGTGGACTGACTGGATTGTTTACGAGCTGGCTGGCTAGTTGACTGACTGGGTAGTAGACTGACTGGATAGTTTATTAGCTGGCTGGCTAGTTGACTGACTGGGTAGTGGACTGACTGGATAGTTTATTAGCTGGCTGGCTAGTTGACTGACTGGGTAGTGGACTGACTGGATTGTTTGCAAGCTGGCTGGCTAGTTGACTGACTGGGTAGTGGACTGACTGGATAGTTTATTAGCTGGCTGGCTAGTTGACTGACTGGGTAGTGGACTGACTGGATTGTTTACGAGCTGACTGGCTAGTTGACTGACTGGGTAGTGGACTGACTGGATTGTTTGCAAGCTGGCTGGCTAGTTGACTGACTGGGTAGTGGACTGACTGGATTGTTTACGAGCTGGCTGGCTAGTTGACTGACTGGGTAGTGGACTGACTGGATTGTTTACGAGCTGGCTGGCTAGTTGACTGACTCGCTGGTTATCTATCTGGCTGGTTAGTTAATTAGCAGGCTAATTAGCAGGCGAATTAACTATCAGGCTTGCCTGCTGGCTCGTTATCTGGTTGATGAATTGTGTGTCTGTCTCGCCAATGGGCGGGCGGGCGCGGTTGGCTCTGAGCTAACGGCTGCGGGCACGGCACGGTGCCGCCCGGTCTCCCCACAGGCATCGGTAGTCACCGCCGCCTCCTACATCGAGTCCCAGCAGCGCACGGTACACTCCTCTTCCCAGGGCCTTCTACGGACCCCGCTAATAATAGTAACCCTGGTTAAGAAGCACTGACCTCTCTAATCAGGACTAACCCCACTAATGAGCACCTAGCCCGCTAATCGCATACTAACCTCACTAACGAGCATTAAGAAGCGCGAATCTGCAGTGACCTCCACTAACAAGCAACAATCACAGACGGGCGCTAAAGCCACCCAATTAACGTTGCCCTCTCCTCGTCCCGTGCGGTACGCGCGCGTTCGTATGCACGTACACACACGCCGACACGTGCGTGTACACGCGGTCAGTAATAGTAGGCGCGTCCATACGGGCGCTCGCGCGCGACCGTTGTACACGCAGGTGTGGCTGTGTGCGCGTGTACATACAGCGTGCGGCTGTGTACGTACACGCAATCATGCAATAAACGCACCGTATATGTGTGCATGTGCGTGCATATGCACGCATATATGTGGGTCTAGTTTTTAATGCACGCGCACATATACACTTTACTATGTGTGTGTGTGCTTCAAGCGTGTAAAAATCGCGTGGCTTCCTGTGAAAATGAGTAAGAAACAGCGTGAAAGATTCAATCAGGTGTTTTGACAGACCATTGGCAAAATGTGCTTTAAACCAAACACTGCTGTAAAGCATCGGTTGGGATGACACGTAATATAGTTTCTTCTCGAAATCTGGATTGGTTAAAAAAAATGTTGTGCCATTGTCAGTGAGCCACTGCAATTTTGACAGCTGATATCAATGCTTTGCGCTGCGTTTATTTTTTTTAATATACATGTCTGCGTGTGTGCTCGTGTACATACACGTGTTTGCTGTGTGCTGCTATACACTCGTGCATGCATACACAAGAACAATTCTTTGGTAATGGAAATTCAAGCACATTGCCTATTTACGCACGCCGATGACCGAATCACCGGCAATGCGCACCCGGACTTCGTTAAGTCATGAAGCCAAGCAGGTTTAAGCCTGGATAGCGCTTGGGCATCAGAGGTCAATACAACAAAATCCGTTGTTGTACTGTGCGTCTATGTTCCCTGCCCTCACCGACGAGCACAGACCGGCGCGGTGAGCTGTGGTCAAATAAACCCCCTCGATCCGCACGGCGTGGGGGAGGCCCTCATCCAGCAGCGGAGTTGACATTTACACGCGCACTTGTTGTGTCGTTGATGAATTCCCGCCAACCCGCGGAGTTTGCACGTTCAAACCTCTGTTGATCCTCCGTCCGCCACGCAGTTAGAGAAGTCGACTCAAATTGGAAGTTCGTGAGTTCAAATTCCTGGTCGGGCGCATGATTAGTGAGAGGTGAATATGAGTACCGCTTTGTGGGATGTCGGCAGTGGCAGTCGGAAGGATAAACTGGCTTCTGCCACAGGAACGTTGAATTTACACCACGAGATAGACACTGCCAGTGAAGTGTAGCAAATTCCCAATTTTGTTTTAGCATGGACACACTTTGAGATTACAATAGTTTGTGTGCATTGCTCCCTGTGCAGTAATTCCATTACCATGGCATTGATCATTTTAATGTATACATACATACACACATACCATATAAATGACATGTACGTGCGTGTACCTTAGGGTTTATCAAACTCCATTCCCCGAGAACCGTCACAATGCATCTTTCCACATTTACCAATCTTCTCTGTTCGGATACACGTTAAGCCGTTACACACTGCACGCGTCTGATGATTTTGCCAACATGTTCTGCGCCGATTCAAATTAAGATCCCCGGTATTAACTTTGGGCTACGTTGTGGGCAGCAGAAGGCAGTGCATCAAAATCTATTGTTGTACTGTACTACGCCCCAACGTCTATGCCCCCTAACTTTCACCAAGTCGTGCTGGCCGACGTGATGATTATGTTCTAATGACCCCCCATGACTTGCACGGCGTGGGGAGGCCCTCATCCAGCAGTAAATTGACAAAGGGCGCACACGTTGATTTGAACCTCGGTGCTCGCCGCATCTCTTGGGGCGAAATACGATCGTTATCATCAGGCAATTGCAGAATATGACGACTTAATTTTGTACTTGGAGGTGGAAGATCGGTCGATGTGAAGAGACCTACAGTGGCGGGTTTTTTGCGAAAACCAGAATTTGTAAAGCTGGTATTTCTAGCGCACCTTGAATGTGTGCATTGGTACGACGCGTACGCACTAACACGCACGTTGCCGTCCGCATGCTGTCTTACGGGTGCGCGTTATAACGTGACCCCCGTGACGTCACGGTCCGTGTGCCACGCGCCTGCATGCACGCACGCACGCGAGCGCTTGTGCGGTATAGCATGACCCACTGCGCAGGGCCCCGTCTACGTTAATATTGATGCTCATTACCGTCAGGGAGCGCAGTAATAGAATTGAAATCGGACTGAAAATTAGGTCTTTAATTACGCAATCAACGTTGATGATGATGAAAGTAACGATGTTAAAATTAATTGTTTTTTTTTTTATCTAAATTTCGTTCAAATCGTCGTGAAACGATGCCAATCGACCGTTTTACGCATCGATGGACAAGATGGCACACGTTTTTAACCGTTGTTACCGCCCGAGTGATTGGACTGATTGTGGTTTTACACTCTGCGTTATGGTGAAATTTTACGCTTAAGTATCGATTACTGTGGGTGTGCGACGGACACGATGGGCATTGATTTGGTCAATTGTCGTTTCAATTTAACAAATAACGATGATTGCAGGGATCTGGGGATAGGATTGGCAAGGAGGTGGAGTGGTGGTAGATTACATAATTAAAGAAATTGTGCATGTGATGACTATGTTAAAAAATAATACTGTGAACAAATGTTTTGATAATTTTTTATGTAAATGGTATGTTTGTGGTTCATTTAGATATTTTTTGAAGACGTATGAGCCGAGTTACTGAATGTGAAACCCTCTGTCCTGTTACAAATGGACAAATTGGCCTGTGCGTGGCAGGGCACATGCGTGCATCGGGTGACTTGGGAGCAAGGTTGGTGACCTCATGTCGAGATGGAACCTGCCTGAATTCACCCACCCCCGCGCATGCCTGTAAAGTGGTGGCTGTTAGAGACAGAATGGCAAGTAGATTTCCAATAGGCCCAATAGTAGCGGAATTTGACTGCTATCCCCTCGTGTTTGTGGGTTTCCTCGGGCACTCAGATGTCCTCCCACGTGGATAAAAAGTTCCCCATGAGAGGAATTTGTCAAATATCCGCACCAGGACCCTCCTGAAAAATCAGTTCTGGGTACAACACTAGATCATTGTTACAAAACACTATAATTATACGGGAGCTAAAATGTATGTAGCTATAAACATACCATTTATATAAGCACAAAATCTTAATGTGTAACCACCCAAATATGGCCGTATCAGCTGACATGACCGTGAATCGAATGCATCCACGGATAACTTCGGTGGCATCTGTGACGAGAGATGCGTTTGGTCTGACCCATCCTTCGGTGTCTTATTCAAAAAACCGACTCGCACATTTCCACCAGCGTCCCATAGCCCCCGTTTCGCCGAAACGAACAACAACAGTGCTCGGTTTGACCAGGTGCTCGTTTGAAACCCGTGCCCTGTTTGTTAACTTCCCCCCTGAATTCGCCACGCCAAGCCCTTGCGACCGGACTTCGGTTTGGTTCCCAGCCACGGCTAACGTCAGTCGCAAGTTACATCTGAAATCATCCTTGGCCATAGACCAACGCAAACCAGCATGGTGAAGTATGGTCAAGGAGCCCCCATAACCGGACACGGCATGCTCCGGACTTTGTCCAGCAGTGGTTTGACGGTGGGCTATATATTATTATTCATTGTGAGAAGGGCGATTGAATATCGCTGACAACTCATAACGATATCGTTAGAGCCAGCATTGCTGAACCTTCTGGCTGGGTGTCCTTCTCACTCTCTTGGGTGATCGATGGCTTTTTACAGCCACCGAGCCAGCACTGCTCGAGGTCCAAGGCTTGAATTCAGATTTCAGCCACCTGTGCTTTGAACCAGGTTCTCAAGAGCACTGAGTTGGTGGTTACAGTCCAGTCACCACGTAGAAACAAAACATTTGCTTACGTTTGATTGTTCGCTTAGTGTAGCTGTATTCTCCTCAGGGAACTCAAATTGTTAACGTATATCAGATGTCGGACACGTGGGGAACCACTTGCTACAAAGCATTAAGCGACTCTGTCTTGGACTATACCGTACTGAGAGTACTGGTCACAAGCGGCGATGAGGTGTGGTGCTGGTGGCAATGTGGAAATGGTCCATAACAAAGGACATGGTGATTGTCAAATTCCGATGGAGAACAACACATCTGGATGAGTTGTTGGTCATGTCAGTTGAGGATGGAGTCATTTAAAATTTCTGAGACTCAATATATTCTGCCGATGTAACCGACATCACAGAAATGTGCAAAATCAAAATGAAAACGTGGCGTAGCACGTTACCGCAACGTAGCGTGTAAATATGTTCCAAGCGGATCGCTTGTTAAACTTCAAATTTACATCGGTGATGTATTTTTTTAAAATCGACAATCAGTTTTTACCTCTCATAAAAAAAACTGAATGGGAGAGTGAGTGCAGAATGTGTTGGGTCTCTTAAGAAATCAGCAATCCCACCATTGTTATCATTTGTCTCGCAATGAATTTTGACTGCGTCGATTGTTGTTGTCGCTAATTATGTAACGGTCCCCTGCAGAATTTAGCGTGTGATAACACCAATCAGTGGGCGGAAAATTTTCTCCAGCGAACTCGCCGTGGAGACCGACAGGTGTGTGGAAACCCGCGTGCGCGCGCGCGTACGCAGCGTGACGTACGCGTTATGTCTGCTTGTGTGTGTGTTTTTTTTTACGATTCTGTGCACGAGTACAAGCGTACTCGCGTTTATGCGTGCGCGTTCACGCGTCCGCGTACAATTCCGCGAGCTCTCTGCAGGCGTACCCGTTTGTTCATGTGCGACGAGCAGAGCGTCGAGTGGATATGATGTGTAGCAAGTTGGCGGAAGATCTTTAACCCTTGGGTGTGTCCATCTGTGCCTTGCCCGGGCGGTGGCGGCGGCGGCGGCGCACGCCTGTAATCCAGCACCGTGGAGGTAGCGAGTGTTTGGTTGTGAAATTCCCTTCCCATGAGCGTCGAGATGCCATATCCTGGCTTTCCACAGAACGTGGTACATACAGCAAAGTGTGGACTCTTCTCCAACTGCTCCATCTGTATGGGATACGATGCTGCCTCCTTGCATGCGTGCTTTCACTACAGGTGCTCCGGTTTCCTCCCGCATGCGTAAGCGCTCATTGATTGGCTGCAGACAGCTTAAATATGTAAGAGGGCTGCAGAGCGTGGGCAGTTGTTGGTAGCGCCTGCTGCCACCGTCTGTTTGCTGCCTTCTCGCCCATCTGTGGTTCCTCCTCGCATCGCCGAGTCTTCTGCCCTCTCCCTCCGAGAGGGGGAGCGAGCACTGCGCGCGATAAAAGCTGAAATGATTATTAGCCTTCGCCACTCTTGCTGACCTCCCGTCAGTTGATATTCACCTTGTTCCATCGTGTCGGAATGACCATAACCATCCACAGAGGCACTGGTTCCGGAGTCACTTAGCGCGAAATAATCCCACACTTGTGTGTGCATGTGTTTTGGTTAGTCTTTGCGTGTGCGTATGTGTGTGCAAGTGTGGCCACTTACGTGTATATGTTTGCGCTTGTGCGTGTATGGGGAGCGGTGGCGAAGTGGCTTAGTGCCGCGCTACGAACCCGGCGGCAACCTGGGTTTGATTCCCGCTCACGGCCAACGCCAGTTACGATTATCTGAACTGATCTTTGGCCTCCCCCAGGTCGACTCGGCCTCAAATGAGTACCTGGTATGGTGTGTAAACACCGCCACTAGAGAGACAGGCAGGTCGGACGTGGTTCTGGCCAACCACTTCCTCGTGCACCGTGGCAACCTTCATAGGTGCTTGCTAACAGCACTTGACACTTAACAATTCTCTTAAGATTATACGGGGGGGGGGGGGTCTTTGTGTGTGTGTGTGTGCACATGGGTGGGTGCACGTGTGTGCGATTGCGCGTGTACATGTGCATATTGGGTGGAGCAATGGCATATGGGTTTGTGCACTTCGCCACAATCCCAGTAAACTTAGTTCAATACCCGACCATAGCTAAAATCAATGGCAAGTGCTCTTAGAACCGGTCTTGAGCCTCCTTGCGGTTGACTCAGCCTTAAATGAGTACCTGGTGCCATGTGTAAACATCCGCACTGTGGGAGACAGAGGCGGTTAGTATGATACTGGCCAACACCATGCTCTTGTGTGCGGTTCCGGCCTGCATAGGCGCTCGCTAACAAAGCTGCCCCAACAGTATGTACGGGTATTTATGTGTGTGCATGCATGCTTGTGCATGTGGGTGCATGCGTGCATTAACTTAGCAGGTTGCAAAATGCGCCACACTAAGAAGCACTTTTCCACCCACGCTTTTGTGCACCCTTGCTTTTCGTGTGCCTGCCTGCGTGTTTGCACACACGCGTGTGCATGCATTCCCCCATGCCCCCATGCGCGAGCGTGCGTACTTGCGTGCGTGCGTATGTTCTGTCCTGCAGGCCATGGCGGTGTATGTGGAGACTGGGGGGCTGTGTGGGGTGGTGCTGGATCGTTCGTGGCGGCTAGGTGGGGAGGGGGGAGATGGCACAGTTGGGCCTGGGTTCTGTTGCTCTAAATCTCGGCTAAAGCGATTAACAGGAGATATGCGCGCGCGCTCTCGTTCACTCGCTCTCTCGCATTCGGTGCATCCGCACAAAACGTGCTCGTGCGTACGTGCGTACGCGCGTCGGCCAGCTGCTGGAATTGACACTTGGGCTAAGAATCAAATGTTTCTGTCGGATTGGACTGCACGCGGCGGCGGCGGCGGTAGATACGAAACGACACTTAACACGCGGGCGGGCGGAGCCTGGTGGCGCGCGCGCATTTAATCCGATCCATTGGCAGTTGGGTTGGTGGATCACGTTAGGAGATTTTACACACGTGTGAATTCGCCGTTTTGTCAATCCACTGCTGGATGAAGGCCTCCCCACGCCGTGCTGGTCAGTGCGGGTTTGTGGAGGCAGGCGAGCAGAGACGGATGTGAGGGTTTGTATTACAGCAGAACTGGAGAGCTCTTGCACTGCCCTTGCCGTAGGCCTGCGAGGTGCTCTAGGCTGCTGCGGGGGCGGGGGCGTGGGCACATTAGCGGTCACCCTGAGCCGATGCTCAAACTGCAGAGTGGGGAGGTGACCAGTAGGTGGCAGTACAGTAGCTAGGTTACTTGCCCGTCTCTGGATTTTTGAGCGCTTATCAGGGGAAGTCCAGGGTTTTGAATTGGATAATTAAATTAACTACTTCACTATTCTTAATGTACCCGGTTGACCAACTATATATTTACCTTCACGAATGTTTACAAGTTCCTCTGTTGCAGCTGCAAATGACTTGATTGGGCAATCAACTGTCTGTGTGACAGCTTCGCAGGCGCATGTGGCCACTTAATGACTAACGGCCTTTCTGACTTACTGCCTGATGTGGCTGTCGCCAGATCCCTTTGTGAACATTATGACGAATGCGCCATCTGCCAAGTAACTACATTCTGAATGGCGAGTGTACTAACTGACTCGCTGTCTTGTGTGGTCGCCTGCACGTGCCTTGACCAACACTGTGACTTAAAGGATGACTGCCTGCTTGTCTGGTTAACACTGACTAACAAACTTAATGACTGACCAATGACTGGTTGCATCATTGAACAGCCGCCTGCATGGCTGACTGACGAACCTGAACGACTGACTGACCGGTGTGGCTGTCGGAACGTTTCTCTGTCAACATTCTGACTGCCTGACCCAATTGGATGACAAACAGGTCGGCTTGCAACCATTGCTACGCACCATGTCAAGCGTGTGGATGACTGGTTAAAACACACGCCCTGCCTGCCTGCTTGCCTGCCTGCCTGCCTTCCCGGCTGACTCCTTTGTGTGTCCATCTGCAATCTCCTCCGTTTACGCCGTGACTAATCATGATTGCTCGTAAGTCTGACTGACAGACGGGCACACTAAGAGACTGCCTTCCCAACGGACCGCCCGCCCAACTGACTGTGACGTGTTTTCCGGTTGTAGCGTGCTATCGCTCCGCACAATGTCCACCGTTTCGCTTCACATGCTGGGAACTAACTCCTTCGTGCAGAAGCTTGTGTTGAACAACACGCGGGGTACAACCCAAGATGTCTTCGAAGAGCTGTCCATCACAACCACGGAAACCCATGGCGTAGTACAACTGACTGCCCAACCAGCTGACTGACCAACCCGACTGAATGTCTGGGTGACTGATGGATAGATCGATAGACAGATTGTTTGTCCAATGCACTGTCTCCCTTGTCTGACGGACTGAATAACGGTCTGCCTGTCTTGTTTGACAGATCGACTGGATGGACTGCCTGCCCGGCCAGCTGAGCAAGAGCTGAATATGTCTGAATGAATGTGACTGAATGGACCGGCCACCCACCGGCCACCCACCGGCCACCCACCCGATCTGACCGCGTGCCTGGGCCGCGTGCGTGGCGCTTTTTGCAGTTGCCGCTGTCCACGCTGTGGGACGCGGGCCTGGGCGTGCGCCTGCAGCGGCTGCTGCGGCCGGGCGGCAGCGCTGCCAAGGCGCGCTACAAGCGCCTTGCGCTGGAGCTCATGGATGACCCCGATTGGCCGCCCGTCAACGTGACGACGCAGGCGCCCGAGGAGGCAGCCGCGGTGCACGCCGTCACGTGACCCCCAACCCCCTGCCATACGCACGCACTGACATAAAATGCACGCGCTTACGGACAGACCCTTCTGAACAAACTCACACGTGTAGTGACACACGCAGACATGCATACGCACGAGAACAGAGACTTGCGCAAACCCGCACACTTACTTCAGACGCACAAGCGTACGTGCACACGCGATTCAAAACATGTACACGCGCTTAGGTATACGCGTAGTGCATGGGCCCCGAGCAGCAGTCAGTACCAGCCGAGGTAGCTAAACTTTAGTTGTGCCAATTTAATTATTCGGCCAATAATTAACTGCTCATTTCCGATGTTACTGACCACGTAAATGAATTGGAACCGCAAAAGCTCTGCCACAGCAGGTGGTACTGACGGGTGAACATTTGGCCTGGTATCGTGGACGTGCACGGCTGTGTTTAGTTCTGCACAGATGTACGCAATTATGCATAGACATGCAAGCACAAGATAGGATGCACAAACCACATTGGACGCACATAAATCCACACATGCAAATACAAATACACCAACCCACCCAAAGAGATCAGCGTACAGACACACAGCAGGTCTGATCGCAGGATTCCGTGACCCCACATTGCACAGCGTTGGTGCCACACCAACTCCATTGGTACAAAGCCATGAACCTACCATCACCCTGAGCACTTCCATGCAAACGTACACGCACACGTCCATAATACACACACTCGCCCACTTGCACAATTCCAGTTGCTTCCCGACATTTTTTCTGAATCACTGCGGCTGCATTGGCATTGGACTCTGGACCTCTGCTATCCAGCTCCGATCCCGATCTTGATCCCGCTCCCAATTCCACATGTTTTTATGACTTGAAGCCACCAGCTGCATTGATCCAGATAGCAAAGGGTCGATCTTCGTCCCTGCGGATTTGACCAGCTCTTGTTGCCTCGTGCAGAATTAGTTTAATTGTTAGGATCCGAGTTGGATTGAGAAGCGGAAGACAAAATCCCACAACTTTTTAAAACTTGCATCATCACGTGTACATTGTTTTAATCAACATACGTGTTCAAAGAAAAGTGGTCTATATAATTTAAAAGAAAGTCATTTAGTACATTGCCGCGTCCAATTGAGCTGACTCGTTCAGAGCAGTAGGACTTCCACTGGTGGGGTTGGCGAGTTCACATCCTAGTCGGGATTGACTCGGCCCCATCGTCATTGTCGTCACCATCATCGCCGTCACCATCATCGCCTTGGTCCCCCTTCGTGCCCATCGTCACTCGTCACGCTCATATTCATCATCGGTGTCATCAGCACCGTCGTCTCCGTCAATACCACCATCGCTGTCGTGGTCCCCGTTCAACATCGTTATCCTCACTCGGCGTCGGCGTCGTTATCGTCACTCCGGGGTTGATAGGAAATGAGCACCGCCTGGAGAGGCTGCTCTGTCTTGTGCAGTGAAGCCGGTCGTGGCTTGTTGGTGGTTTTATTTGTGGAATAGACTGGGCTCTGCCAAAGTAACATGGAATTGAATTCTAATACCACTGCCTAGCACGCCTCTTTAGAGTTTGACGGTGGAGACCGATGTTAATTTTAGTTGTTTTTAAATGAAGTGTCGCGCAAGTTTCTTGAATCACGCCGCTCAAATCACGAGCCTGGGAGACGTCTGACAGGGATGCCATCGATTGATGAATCGATGTTCATACCGTCATGTACCTCTTAATGAAACAACCAACGCAAAAAACAAAAAAAACTTTTCTCTTGTAACGACATGCCCAGGTCGTGTCCGAGCGTGTGTCCCGGGCTGGCCGACACGAGTTTTGAACCAAGTTAAAGTAAAAAAAAAGCCTTTAAAACGGTCGTCAGGAGCGCAACCACAGCCCTCTAGTGATCACGCTGCCATGTCACCGCCATGCCTGCAAGTCACTTTAAAGTCATTCTTTTCATTGATAAATCTGGAAATTCGTGTGGGACAACCAGAGGCGCAGGTCACGGATACGTGTCGACATGACCAGGCGTCTCCTCGTGTTATTGCGTTGCGGTATCCTCCGACTCGTGT